CGGGACCTCGTCTGGGACGCCGGCACCGGCTCCGGCCAAGCTGCCGCCTCTGTAAACCCCCCACATCTCCATTATTGAAACAATTCTACTGTTGAATTTACTTTTGATGATCCTTTCCTAAATCTCATCTCACAGCTAGCGGAGAAATACAAGCACGTGGTGGGCACTGACACCAGCCCGAACCAGCTCCGGTACGCGCCTGACCTGCCCAACGTCCGCTACGTCTGCACCCCGGCGAACATGTCGATCTCCGATCTGGAAGCCCTCGTCGGGCCCGAATCGAGCGCCGATCTCGTCACCGTCGCGCAAGCCTTGCACTGGTTCGATCTCCCCTCCTTCTACCGGATCGCGAGATGGGTCCTGAAGAAACCCCACGGAGTCATCGCCGCCTGGTGCTACCACCTGCCGGAAGTCAGCGGCCCGGTCGACTCCGTGTTCGAGAAATACTACGCGAGTTCCGGGCCGTTCTGGGACCCGGCGAGGAAACTGGTGGATGAGCGGTACGGGACCATCGATTTCCCGTTCGAGGCGGTGGAGGGATGCGAGCACAACGGGCCGTTTGAATTCAAGGCGGAGAGATTGATGGGGATGGAGGACTATTTCACCTATCTCCGATCCTCTTCTGCGTATCAGACTGCTAAACGCCGCGGGGTGGAGCTTCTGGGCAGTGATGTGGTGGAAGATTTCAGGAGAGCTTGGAATGAAGATGGCCGGAACCTGAAGATTGTTTCCTTCCCTGTTTTTCTCAGGATTGGGAGAGTTGGGACTATTTGAAGTTAAGAACTATCCTTTGATTAGATTTTAATAAGAATAAGGGGTGTATTGAATTGAGAGTTTGTTGGATTTTTTTAGACTTTTAAAATTTGAATGTATTTAATCTGGACTTTTAAAGGTCTTTAAAAATCTTGAAGTATTTAATAAGGAATTTTCAAAGTCTTTAAAAATATTGAAGTATTCAATTCAGATTTTTACTAGTCTTTAAAAATTTTGAGGTATTCAAAAATCTATGAGTTTTAATACTCTATGGATTTTGTTGGATTTTCTCTAAAAAAAATGCTTGCATTTCACTCATAGAAATCTCTTCTCATAACCCCAAATTTCTATGGACTTCAAACCTATTTTGCACTAAAAATCGATCGGAGCAGGATGAGGGCAACGCCGTTCAAACCATTTTTGCATGAGGAATACAATTATCCAGGTCCTTTGTCCCAATTTGGTCGCCAACTCGTCGGAGATGATGTCTGCAACGCCGTTCAAACCGTTTTTGGGAACTTTGCAATTCACCATCAATCCGTGCAATTGAAGAGTCGGAGATGATGTCTGAGATGCCAGGAACATTTTTTGATGGGTGCACGACTCCAAATGGCCGGAGGTGGCCGGAATCCAATAAAATTTTAATTGAATACGCCCCCTAAGTTGAGAGAGAATAACTTCTTATAAATATTTATCTAATTTTAACTTTTTTTTTACGTTTACAATTAATAAAATTTAATCATGAATTAAATATTATCTTTGTCCTATTGTATTTGTCTAACTTGATTTTCTCGAGTCTAACATGATAAATTTAGACATCAATTAAATTAAAATTGTGATGTACTCCGTATACTATAATTAAAATTATATCATTGGTTATATCTTGTTGAAAATTTTGAAATTTGAATTCATCATATAAATATATAATACAAATTGAGAAAAATTAATGTTTAAATTTCATTTAATTTGATTTGAAAAAATCAAATTTGACGAATACACTCTGACAAAAGGAGTAAACTTTATAGTCCATTCGTTTCCCAAAAGTCTTCAACAATAATTTTCTATGCATCCCATAAAATACTCCCCCCCCCCCATAAAACATCTAGAAAATATAAAAATAAAAGTTTCATTTCTAAAATAAAAGTACAATACCAATAATGTTAATATATACTCCCTCTGTCCCTCATAGATCTTCTCAATAGCCCTTTTTCTATGTCCACAATAGATCTTCTCATTTCATTTTTTAACAATTAAAATACCACAACTACCCTCACTTACTTTATTTATTACACCTCACCCACCTCATTTAATACACTCCACCCATTTTTTATTAAGGGTATTATGGTAAACTTTCACCTTTTTTCAACTTCTTAAAAATTATCAAACGTCAAAATGAGAACATCTTAGGGGGACGGAGGGAGTAGTACCTTAAACTATAGTGTGATACTGTTATACAACATTATGATGTCATCGTGCAAACTCTTATTTTGAGGATAAAAATATGAAACTTTTTTTAAAAGATAAATGCTATGTTTACTCATATTTGGGATGATTCCTTAATGCTTTACAAGATGCGCAAAAAATTAGGATGGAAAACTTTTGTGAAACTGGAGGAGTGTTATTAGATAAAGAAATGTCCCTATATAGGAGTAAAAAGTTTGAAAATATCAAAACAAGAGTTCTATGTCTTTTAAGATCAAAATAGGAGTATAATGGCAATGTGGTGTAAGAATACACATTGACAATGTGATGGAAAATTGATGACAGTGTAATATGTGAGTGGGATCAGTCAACTGTCGGCGATCTACCACAACGGGACTCTGGTGGCCGTCGGCGATAGATGGCAATGTAGCGTTGATAATGTGACAATTACAATTTGACACTGTGGTGAGGGTGGCAGTGTATCAATGACAGCGTGAACTCCTATTTTGGTCTTGAAAGACATATAACCCTTATTTTAGTATTTTCATAATTGTTTACTTCTATATAGGGAGTTCTCCGTATTAGATATTGCTAGAAGAATAATATCGAGTAAATTATATAATTGGTCCTTTATAACATGGGGTTTTTCATATTTAATCCTTTATTTTTAAATATTACTTCCGTAGTCCTTTTTCTGTGGGCACCTTTATACAAATAGTTTCTTTTTTGACCTTCTACCCTGTTGGTGTTAATTTGAGAGCTATAAGTATAATTTTACAGAAACCTTATGTCGAGTAAAGTTTTCTAATGTTAGTTAAGTGCAACACAACAATAATGACTATGATTGTGGACTAGGATTTCGATGAAAGAACATATCTATAGACAATGTTGTATAAGAAAGGGACTTTAATTCACAAACAACGCATCGGGAGCTCATTTAGAATTGTGTATGGCAACTGATGGTGTAAATTATTTCGACAGGTATATCGTTCTTAGCCGGGCAAGAACGATAACTAGTTAACAAAATACACCAAAAAATAAACACAAGAATTTTGACGTGGAAATCCAATCGGGAGAAAACCATGAGCCTTTTTTGCCGGTACCTTGCCAAAGGGGATTTTTATTAATATCGGGGGTATGCTTAACCAGAGTTCAGTTTGCAGGGGTGTTAGACAACAATAATACGAAGTAATAGCATTAGTTATGGTAGTGTTTGATAATAAGTCAGCTTCCTATTCTCATTTATGATAAATGTCGTATTTTAGTTAGTTTTCATTATCTATTTCTAGTTGTGTTAGGAGTCTTTCCTAAATATACTCATGTACTTTAAAATTTTAATGAGTAAAAAATCTTGTTTCGGATATTGTAGGTTAGTTTATATCTTTTGTTTGAGCTGAGAAACACTTGCCAAGTAGGCTTTTTTATCATCCCAGCCGATGGTGGGTTTAAGACCATCAATAGTGAGTAGACCATTTTTCAACAAAGGAGAGAACTTAGCCACCATGGAATTGAAGATGGACTTTGGACCATCGATGGGGTCATGAAAGTTGCCATCTCAGTTTGCCATCTCAGTTTGTCACGGTAGCTTATGCTCGATTTGAATATTGAATTCGATCTTCTAACATTAACCACCACGAAACCTCAGCTCGCTAACTGTGAGATTAGTGCAATATTTGTTTGGATATTCTTCTTAAATGAGGCCTCACAAAATACTAAGAATAATGTCTTGCAATGGAATTTGTTCTCAATCAACTGCAAGAGATGTGAAAATATCCAACATAACATCTAAGTATGCTTGGAGGGTGAATTGCCCTATTATGAAGATTATGAAGCTATTCTATGAGGTTTAAAATATGGGTGTGAGACAAATAATTAAGCCGTTGATGGAGTTGATCAATCAAAATATCGACAACAGTGGAACAAAGATGAACAAGATTCTAGATAGTGAGTGATAGATAGAAGAGCAAGAAGAGACGTGTGAAGTTGTGCATTGATAATAAGCAATTGATCATAGGCTAGATTTTCTTTCTTGAACGGTTTTTTGTCAGTGCCACATATGGCTATGTCATCAAGAATAACCGGTGATAGTGGCTCTTCTGTGCCATCGACATAGTTATAGGTTTGATGTGTTTGAAGCAATGCTTTGACGGGTCTCGTGAAGTGGAGGAGGCTGAGGTGTACGACGGTGGTGAAGCCGTGTCGAGATGGGAGAGAAAACGTTTATGGCTCCTATACATGCAACAAGATAAACTCCGATCCGTACAAAGAGGAGATTTATGACAAAGGTAAATTCTTTGGTGGACTTAAGATCCACCATTGACCTACATATAAGCAAAATAAGTATTTTCTTACTACTTAAATAAACATCTCTTTTTTAAATAAAAAAAATTTATGTGTAAATATCCAAAAAAAATGGTATGCAGCCAAAATGCTCTATAGAAGTACTCTATGACAAAACTAATAATCAATATTAGAAGTTGACTAACATGTAAAGTCTACGATATACTCCATCCGTCCCTAAATAAAGTTCCTCTTTCGTTTTTTCTTTGTCTCTAAATAAACTTCTCTTTTCCCTTAAAAAACCCCTTTTACCCCTTACTTTTTCATACCCTACCTATCACATCATACCTTTTTACTAATAATCTACCTATCACATCTTACTTTAACACATCACATCAAGGATATTTTTGGAAAGTCAACACCAAAATATCCATCCCTTAAATCCTCAAAAAGTCAAAAATGGAACTTTATTTAGGGACGGAGGGAGTATATTAATATACTACTAATTATTGTTCTCTATCAAATACTTTTTATTTAATACTTGTATATTCTTATTGAGTTATTTGTATTTTATTACAAAAATTTAAATGATCTCAAATGGATGTAATAACAACTTTTACACGTACGAAAAATATATATGTCCGTCGTGCACAAGAAGTTGAAACTCACAAATTGAACTACCACCCGAAACATTATTTTACATAAAAAAAAACGCTAACCAAACTTACATACCAGTTCCCCAGAAGCACCCACGACACTTACCAAACATACATATAATTGTTAAATTATAAAAAAATGATGATAATAAAAAAAGTGCATCCGTACGTATGGAGAGAATTGAAGAAGCTTTTGTAACCCCGAATTAATTCATGAGATTGTTGTAGAGATCGGGATCCAGACGCGGTTTAGCAACCGCGTGGAGTGGGGTTTGGAGGAAGAGCGCATCCTCCGCCTCAGACAAGTCAATGCGCGACGAGCCAGGCGGAGGGCTCCAAGTGAAGCTATGGACGAGCCTAGCCAACAGCATTGTGGCCATCAACGTCCCTAGCTTCCCTGCCGGACATCCCCGTCTCCCCGCACTAAAAGACACCAACTTCATCTCCGGGTCCGTCAGCGCCACCTCGACCGCCTCTTCCTCCCCCTGCCCGAGGTGGCGCTCCGGCCTGAACTCCAGCGGCTCCTCCCAAGTCCTAGCGTCTCGCCCGATCCCAATGCGATTCAGGATCACTTGGCTGCCTGCAGTATATGTATATAGTATGTACTCCCTATTTATTGTGCTAGTGTGACATCAATGTGGAGAGTGCAAATCAGTGATGTACAATTTAGTGTACATGCCCTAAGTGGGGTGCAAATTTTACATACAATAAATTTAGCTAATTAGGACTAAAACATAATGATTTTTCCAATATAGAACCATATGTTTTTATTTCCCAATGTAGGACTTTTGGTCATTAACAAGTAGTCATTATTCAAGTAAATGTCTATTATTACTGGACATTATTCCTCCCACTAGGTCGTTATTAAGTCCTATTTAGGGAATAAAAAAATTTAAGTCCTACATTAGGAACGTCATTATGTTTTAGTCCTATTTAAAGCAAATTTTACATACTAAAATTGTGCTAGTAATAAACCCTCCCTAAAAAGAACTCCTCACATTCTTTTCTAGCTTGGTTATCCCAAGAATAAAGTTTTTTTTTCAGTTTTTTAAAAGAATGTAATAGTGATCCACATTAATTCAAGAAAATATTCAAAATAGGGGTAAAACATAATAAAATCCTTAACCTAAAATAAAAGTGACATATTTTTATTCTAAAATAGGAGTGACATATTTTTGTGTTCATATCACTTTTCTCACCTTTATTAATTCCCTCCTGCATAAAATTTGATTAAAAAAAATCATATTTTTTTAAAATTCTTAAATAAGTAAATAAGAAGTTTATTTTAGGATGGAGGAAATAATAGAAATATGATAATTACTCCATATATTTTCTCCGTCCAAACAAACTTTATCTACTTTAATTTATTTTTTAACCAACTCAGAAAAACAAGTTCACTTATTTATTGACTTTTCTCAATAAAAATAGACAATACCATCTCAAAGGTTAATAATAAAAAATATTTTTCTCAAATTAAATGAAGAGAACCAATGCTATTTCATTTTTTATTGACTAGACAATGCCTACCTTTGGGGATGAAATAACCGCCTACAATGGCGTCGGCGGTGGACTCGCGCGGCGGCGTGAAGGGGCCGACGGGGTGGAGACGGAAGGCCTCTTTGAGACAGGCCTTGATATAGTTGAGCTTGGGCAAGTCGGATTCCTGAACAAACCGCCTCTCCGACCCCACCACGCCGTCGACTTCTTCCACGGCTCTCTTCATGAGCTCCGGCTTGCTCATCATCTCCGCCATCGCCCATTCTGCTGCATTTGATGCATTGTCCACCGCTGCTAGTATCATTTCCTGTTGCAATTTGATTTCGTTTTATAAGTGACCATTTATATATACTCGTTACGTCGTCCCAAAATACCAGTCTTCCTTTCATACGAGTGGCGGATTCTGAAATTTGAATAGTTAGGGACAGGGTTGTCCCTGGACATTTTACCGGGCAATATAAAATGAAAAAAAAATGAATTTTACTGTCTCCGTGCTCAAAAAGGGTTCCTAGTTTGACCAAATTTAAAATAAGGAAGTGTTAAATTCTAATTGACCTTTAATTTTGCCCTTGATGTGATGAGTAAAAGTAAGATGAAATAGGGTATGAAAAAGTAAATGTAAAAGTGGTTTTTCAATAAAAAGTAGAAGTGTTTTATTGGAAGTAGCTAGAAAAAATGAAAGAGAAAATGTTTGTGAGAAGGACTGGAGTATTTGACAAGTTGTACTGCTCACCACAACTTGTGTTTTGATCTCTTCATGAGTGAGGAGTGGCCTTCCATTGTTGCCCTTGAGCATAATAAGAGCATCAACGACGTCGTTTTCCACCGTTCTCCTACCGTCTTTCCACATTTGGATCCTCTTGTCCACTTCCGCGTCGAAGTGTTTCGCCGTGACGGAAATAGCCCTCTTGATGATCCGTTGGTGGCCGTCGATATCGAAAATCCCTAGCCACGGCACGTAGTCTGCCACGCCGAACCCGAAAACGTACCGAAGGATAGTAAACATGGCCTCCACCAGCTCCTCGTCCTCGGTCCCACCGCACCCGAGCAACACTCGCTTCGCGATGTTCCCCGCGTACCCGCGAGTGATCGCTCGCAGGTTCACCCCGCCCCCCGCTGCATTTTCCCGCGTGCATTGCGTGTAGATGCTGAGAACGAGGTGGTTGGCTTCCTCCATTCTCTTGTCGTAGTGCGCGCGGATTGCAGCGGGGGAGAGGACGTGGGAAGTGAGGATTCTCCTCATCTTCGTCCACTGGTCGTCGTTGACCGGGAGGAAGATCGACGTCAGGTACCCGTTGCTGATCATGCTGGCAGACACGCAACGGGGCCTCGACAGGAAGTCGGAGCTCCTGCAGATGTCGCGGGCCAGGTCAGGAGAGGAGACGGCGATGACGTTGACCGACCCCAGTCGGATGCGTGCGATATCCGTGTTGGATTTGACCATGAAATTGTGGATCCACCGGAACGCCGGAGGGTTGTTCCGGAGAATTTGCGGGAGACAGCCGACGAGAGGCCACCCTTTCGGCCCCGGAGGAAGTTGTGCCGCCGTCGCCGCCGGTGACTTCTTCTTTCTTTTGTTATTCTTATTCTTATTATTGTTGTGTAGCCTTTGGGCGGCTGTTAATACACCAATAAGCATTGTCACAACTAGGGCAAATAAAAAGGGAAGGGAGATTGAAAAAAACATAATATTGGACATTATGGTTTCCATTTATATGTGTGTGTGTCTTTTCTGAATATTTTGAATACTCCTATAGGCTTTTATAAGAGAAGCAATTACATAATATGCATTGAGGCTAGGCATGCATTTCCCTATTTATATGTGTTGGGTTCGGCGGGGATGTAATTATTATGAGTATGTTTCTGTGAGTTAGGAATCATTAATTAGCTCGACCTGACCAATTAAAGAAGTTTCACTAACTAGTTTTAAAAACTTTAACTTATTAAAGCCCTCTTTTTTGGATTTCTTTTGAGTTACAAAAAATAAATATTAATTTTCTTGAACTTCTTCCAATTTCTTTTAACAACGGCTTAAAAAAGAATTTGTATATGATGAATGTCGTACCAATTATTTCGGTTCGATATGAGATTTTACTCTGTATTGATCCCGATCCCGAAATATCAGTTTAGTATCAGTTTCAGTACAAATCGGGATGAATATAAATACCTACTTTACACCTCAAAATTTAACAATGCCCCTTTATTTTTTAAAATTGAAGGTGAATTTAAATAAACAAAATATAAAAAATTAAAAAAAATGAATATTTAAATGCAAGAGATGCGTATCAAAACTTAATTTATATTTCAGAAACTAAAAAAATGAGCGACAACAAAGGAGTATTTTGAATTTTTGTGAATACTTTTATGTTTATATACAAAAAGTAAAACTCAAATAAAAGTATAATCTACACATAATAGAACGAAACCCAATTTTATTTTAAAAATTATTATTTAGTGAAGGAACATAAAAATATTACTCTGTGGTATTATTTTTATAATATTTTAGTACATATGTTCGGTTCGTGATTTTCGGTATGAGACGTCACCTCACACCGTTCCCAAATACCGTACCAACCATTCTATTCGGTACGGTTTGGTTCCTTCTCGATACTTTTTTGGTTCGGTATTCTCAATTTTTTCGGAAAATTTCGGAAAAGATTCAGTACTTGCTCATCACCCCTACAAAGAAGTTTCACTAACTATTTTTTTTTATGAAAAATCAATTATTAAGGCCCTTTTTGAAAATTCAAACCACTATAGGGAGACAAAAGAAACGTGTCTAAGAAAAAAGAAGAGAGAGAGACCATGTAAGGTGGGTCCCACAATGCCGCTAGTATCCAATGACGTGTTAACACATGGCACGTTGTGGGGACCGCTTTCTTATTTTTTCCGGAGGATATCATCTGATTGTTACCTGATCAGCTCCCTTTGGGGCCGAACCGATACAAACCCGAAGCGATATAAACCCGATCCGATACAAACCCGAATCGAAACCGAACCGAAAACCAGTCAAACCGAAATTAACCCGAAACCAAACTGACCCGAACCGACCCGAATCAATTATAACATATATCCGAATGAGACCCGAACCGAAAAGATCCGAACCGGAACCGAACCGATTGACCCGATTGCCAGCTGCGTGACACCACCGAAGTCCCAGAGGTGATGTACGGAATACTAATGTTTGGACACCGCAAATTACACCAAACTAAATTCTCGATATTATTTTGTTAATAACTCACAAGTCTAATACTCCCTCTGTCCCCAATTTGATTATAACTTTTTTCTCTTTCCTTTCGATAACTTTTGTTTGTTTACACGATTTCATTAATATTTGATAAGATAAAATATTTTTGTCACATTTTATTTTGTAGAACTTTTGACGTAGTTTTTTAATATGTAGTTTTTGTTTTTTATCGATACACCAATTTGTAAATAAAATGATTTCAAAAAATAAGATACACTTTAAGGTATTCTTCACCGTTCTTAAAGATTGCTCCGAGGATACATTTCGTACACTAAGTGTTATGGTTGAAAGTTCTTTTCCTTTGACAAATAATCCTTTGACAATTTCCCTATTTATGTGTGTTGGGTTGGGTGGGGATGTAATAATGATCTGAGTATGTTTGTGTAAGTTAGGAATCTTTAATTAGGTGGACGTGACAAGAAATTTCACTAACTACTTTTAAAAACTTTAAATTATTAAAGTCCTCTTCTTTTGGATTTCTTGAGTTGCAGAAAAAACTAATACTGGTAATTTTCTTAAACTTCTTCCAGTTTCTTTTAATAACGGATTTTAAAAAATTTGTATATGACTGATGGGTGTATTCACCCAGGTCAAAGGGAAGCCTTCAAATACTTGACAGGTCAAGATTGATTTTCTGGGATGGGAAGCCTAAAACGACAGTTAGAGTGTATTCAGTTGACCAAAAAATCTGACCGGTATACTTCGGAAAGTCTATCGGTCAAATTATTTTACTACCTCATTCGTCCCCAATTTCAATAAACGACCCATCCCTTGAAAATCACCCGGTATGATTTCTAAGGTTGGAAAGTGTCGGCAAGGAAAAATCCTAAGGAAATTGGACTGTAGCGGCCAAATTCAACGGAGGATCATTGGAGACACTCAGGCAATCCATCCAAAACACTACGCGACAAGGAAGTCACCTTCCTAACTAGATGACAAGGCCGCTAGAAGACAGAGGCAATCACCTCGCACCACCCAGGAACGTGCCTTGACGTGGATGTGCAGCGCCCTGTCCCCCATTGATTACTATAAGTACATGTGTAACCCTCAAAGGAAGGGATCCGATTTCTTCTCACTAAAACCCTTGTGTTAAAGCTCCCATGCACTCTACTATATTCAAATAACAATTGGGCTACAGGTGTTTCCACCTATAGTCATCCCGGTTACTTTGCGTGTCTTCACCTTTTACTATCTCGAATCTAGTAAATAATTCTAGACCTAATATAGTACTATTTACCCGGTTAAATAATTTACATCATCAATGACGAATACCCGAGTATACAATAACATTATATACCCAAATTTATAACATGTTACCTCAAACACGGGTAATGATAATTTTTTTTATCCAAAATCAAAGTTTTATTACACATTTATTTAAGTGATCATCTAATTGAGTGATCTTTTAAGGAAGAAAGATCAAAGTAGGACAAAAACATTGAAAATATATCAAAATAGGATGTTTTTATTCTCGAAATAAGACTTAAAATACATTTATATTACAAAACATGGTCATATACATTACCAAACACGTGTACAGTGCCACACTACCGCAGTGCGAAATCCTATTTCGAGAAAAAAACATAAAAGTCATATTTTGATAGTTTTCTCTATGTTCTAGTCCTATTAAGGGTGATTTTTTATTTTTTAATACTTAAATTCTTCCAATATTTTCTAACTACTTCCAATTTTTTCTAACATTCAGCTCTAAAATTTCAATCCAAAAGATTAGAACGTAAATGTTTTTTTCACTTGGAAATACTACCAAGCAAAACGGGTTTATGGACCATCGTTCTAGGACCTTATTACTCTCTATATCTCTATCTTTCTTTCAAGTTTAATTTGGCTTTGTTGGTCAATTACTTTTTAAAATATTTATCCATAAATTAGTAAAAAATAAATATGTTGAACTGTGATCTAAATTTAATATCAATAGATTAATTTTAAAATATAATATTTTACACCGAAGTAATAAATTTTTATACTCGAATAAAGATATTAATGATCAAGATGGTAAAAAGTTGAAGTAAAAAAGAGACACGGACAAATGGAATAAATATGGAATAAATATATCAATGTGAACATGGAGAGCACAACATAGAGAGCATAACATTAAATATATCAAGTTCTGATGAATCTTCTATAATAATAGTAACAACAACAACAACTTACAACAACAACAATAATAACACTCTGTAGTATACTCTATCCGTTCTTAAATTAGCGTCGTCATCTTTACTTGCTATTTGAAGCTTTAGGTAACTTTTGTTTGTGTATCTGTTTTTTATCATTTAATAAAAGAAAATAAATAAGTATGTCAGCACTTGCTTTGTAAAATTTCTGATTTAATTTTTAAAATTTAGAATGTAATATTATTATTTTTTTCTATATTAATTTGTAAATAAAATCAAAAATTTTACACATACTTCGAAAGAGGATAATAATTTAAGAACGGGAGAGTATAAGGTATAAATATAAATTGTCGATGTGCTGAATTTGAGACAATAACAAATCAAATAATTAAAATTTTGGAGGGAGTTTTAATAACCATCCGTTTTTGTTGGGTTGGTTACATAAAAAAAGGAATAATTGGGTTTGAAATTAAATCCCTCTAATGTCATATATATCATTAACTATGCAAGTGCCGAACTGTTCCCGGGTGGTTATATCATAACATATATACCAATCTCTAATGGATCAATCTTTCATCAGGTGAGTTTATAAGTTGGTTCCCCTCTCTATCTGCGGTCCGGAAAACAGCATGTTGCTCCACATATTTTAATTTGCCTTTGAGGCCATTTTCCAAACATGAACATCTAGGTAGATTTGACACCATTGCCAATTCATCCCAGCACTTCTTCAACTTGGTGTAGTAACCTGCGACATCTGAGTTTCCCTGAGAGATGGAACATATGTCCTGTAATTGATACAGTCTTGTAGCATTAGATTGGCCAAAATAATCATCCAATTCCTTCCATAACTCAACCACAGAGTTAGCATACAATACGCTATCTCCAATATCTCTGCTTAGTGAATTTAGAATCCAGGAAGTGATCATATCATTGCATCTTTGCCACTGAACAATTTTTGAGGAAGTAGAAGGTGATGAGACAGGCTTTTCGATGTTACCTTTAACAAATTCCAGTTTGTTCTTCGCAGATAGGGCTATCATCATGGATTTCTGCCAAGAACCGAAGCCTTCACCTTCAAACTTCGTAGAAATCAGATTCAAAACAGGATGATCTGAAGGATGGAGATACAAAGGATCAGAAGGATCCATTGTAGATGAAGCTGAATTGTTCGACGCCATTGAAGTTAAGTAAATATCGCTGCAGAAGATCAATTGGAGCTGAATTCGAAATGATGCACAGAGAGAATTGATGCAGATGGATGGATGAAGATGAATTAGGGATGAACTGATTCGCGATTGTGAAATTGCTCTGATACCATGTTGGGCGAAATGATCAACCGCGAGAGAAGAGAAAATGAAGACCAGGAGAACAAGAGAAAATTGCTTTCATTTACTAGAGTGTGCCACCAAAACAGAGATTACAAGTATTTATATCAAAGGGCTAGAACGAGGGAAAAATAACAAACTGTAACTAATTGTAACAAACTAACTAATCAAGCTAAGCTATTCCAACACGTTGGAATTTGATAAGAAGACATGTTCTTAATGTCCCTAAGATGTTCATCAAAAGATATGGTTAAAAGACATGGATCTCGCTAAAAGACATTCCAAAAAGTTTGGAATAGCTCCCGCCTATAGGAAAAGCTTTAAGATATGCTGACCTCAACAACTCATGAAGAGCATTCACTTTTTTTCTGCACAGTACCTTTCTCCCTAAAAGTCAAATTCAAGAGCTGGTTATTTAGATATGGGACAATCAAAGAAAAGTTGATAATAGTATAATACTAAGTATATATGTATAATATGTAGATATATGTTGAATATCGTCATTATATACAATTATTTAAAGGTCTCCTAATGTTCCATATAGGTAGTATAAGAAATTTTTGTGAATATGCATGATATAAAAGAAAAAAAGATATGAAAATAATGCATACTAATGGGAACATGTATTTATGGAATAAGGCTGCTATTATGAAACTCAACTGGGATATAGCAAAGTACATCATTGTTTGGGTTTAATGGATCCATACAAGGTATATTACGGATTCCCTATACTGGCAATATATTCCCAAATTGGACTACAATTATTACTAGAAGAAGGTGATCAAAATCATGCCAATCACAGGTGACTACGATATCCTAAGGTTGTGTTCTGTTCGCGTGATATGATGTTTTGAAGATCTGATGGTTAGATCTGTCTGATTGTAGTTATATTTAAAGCTGCTTTTGATCTAGCCTGATCTAGCCTCACCTGATTTTAATAAGAATAAGTAATAACCTGAGAAAATAAGTTGAACGGAACGCAACCTAAGTAAGGAGACTCCAACTTGGACAAAATGGGTATGGTGTTGGTATATTGAACCCCAAAGTCCAATTTATTATGTGGTTGATTTTAAAGGAGAGGATCCAAACAAAGAAGAAGCTGAGTAAGTCTATTAAGATCAATGTGAGTTGCTTGCTGTGTAACAATAGGGAAGAGGATCTGACTCATCTGTTCAGTTAATGTGATTTTGATCTAAAGGAAATCTTTACTATCTTTCTGTGTTTGTTGCTGCTTGTTTTTGAACTCTTGTTGGGTGTAATATTTGCTACTTGCTTTGGTGAATAAGTTAGTATTCTTGGTTATTAAAAAAGACTGAAGAGTAATGTATGCAGTGTATTCCCCACGAATAAGTCGAGTGTGTTTGCATGCTTTTTATCAAGCAGGTGAAATGAAGCATCAAGATGTAGATGAGAAAAGCCCTTAGACTACTGAATCACAAAACATATGCCAAATGCCAAAACAGAGTCCAATTCTTCCCCAAAATTATCACATTTTAGTAACAAGGGGAATTATATAGATAAATAAATTCAGAAAGAGCATATAAACATGAAAACATTCCCATTCACGTACAAGCCCACATTCAGCACTTGGCTGTTGTCACAAAATATGGCACCGAAACTCGTAAGGGGTTCATAAATATACAAATGAATGCCAGAAAGCTGACAGTCACTTGAACCTTGGGTTAAAAAAACTGCTCTGTCTTTTAACCACAAATGCAAGAGAGAATCTATTTTCAATCAGTAGAGGCAAGAGCTTGCAATGGGAAAGCAGGCAAATACAGAAAAAGAAGTAATTTAAAAAATGTGGGTTGAATAGAACTTGCCTTAGTGTTCTTCATGACCTACCAATGTGCTTTCAAGAACTGAATTTAGTTTTAGTCAGTAGAGGCAAGAGCTGACTGTAAGATGTCTTCAAAGTACTTCTCTGCATCAGCATACTGTCGTTTCTTCTCCTCTATTGCCAATGCGGCCAAGGCTTTATCCTACATCATAATAAGGTCTAGAACCCAAAGGCAAAGCATATGAAAAAGGCAAAGATCCAAAAGGCAGTAGATCTTACAGGAGGGAGGTCTTGGTAGCTTCTCAAAGTATCAAGAATAGGTTTAGTTTTGTTCTCCAAATCCTTTCTGTGCTCTGCCATTTCAACCAGCACTCCATGACTTACCTCTGGGGTATAGCCAACACGGTTGAGCATTGCCTGCACAAGAAATATTCTTTTAGCTATAAATGAATAAAAATACATTTGAGGACATAACATGGATGACAGGTTCTAGATTCATCAACAAACTGTATGTGTCCTATAGGCCAAGCACATGCCTATCAAACTTATTTAAATATTATAATAGGGACCTTTCTTTTTAACAAAAGCAATAACGGTTTACATACTCTTAGTTTCACCTCATTTTTTAATATGTAAATATGTAATATTTGTTACCAGAACCCCACTACCTTAGTTGAAGCTAACTTAAGTACTTGAATGCTTAAGAGCAACTCATTTAGTGACCAAGTTAATTGTAATGAAGTTTGGAAATTTTAAATTAACCGAGACAGCTCTGGGTGGGGTTGCTAGGCTTGTTATGGTACCATAGCTAGATATGCAGGCTTGTGATTGAATTTAAATCAAGCTCTATAGTTTATACATTGTTTTAAATATTATAAGTTAACCAAATTCTAAACCCATAATGCAATTGTCAGCATGACATTATTACTAAATACGGAAATAATTTTAACATAAGCAAACATAATATAAACTCAAATTGTCAAATGTGTTTTTTGACAGGAAAAGAACATTAAAGTGCAACTATACAAGAGACTAGAGAGTAATTGCCCAACCAAACCAAATATGCTCATTTATGAATAATGTACAAGAAACTACTCCCTCCATCCCAAATTTAAAGTCCGATTTGACCGGACAAGGAGTTTTAAAAGTGTTAGAGAAGTGAAAAATTAATGGTCGGAACTGCTATGAAAGAAAAAATAATGATGAACACATATTCCTTACTAAAAAAGTCAATAGATTTTTATTTTAGGACGGACTAAAAAGAAAAGGGTGTCGTTTATTTTGGGACGGAGGGGGCCTTTGCATTTGGCTTGGTATACTCTCTGTCCCATAAAAAGGTTCCACGTTGCATTTTTTCTTTGTCCGAGAATAAGGTTCTACATCAAAGTGCAACTATACAAGAGACTAGAGAGTAACTTCCCAATCAAACTAATATTTTGAACAAAAAATTGTGACTCACATGATTTCTTACTCAAGTCTCAACCACCCAATTTCATCTTTCTTAATAACTGTGTTAATTCCAATGTAAAACCTTATATGGGAGGAGCTAAAAAAGCTAGCTCAAAGCCATAAAAGCTTTTAAATAGAATGGATTGCTTATATGCCCCTAGAGCATATGGTCTTTGTGACCAAGCATCAAGCTGAGAAAAAAAGAATTTTGTTGGATGTTTAATGCAATTCAATAACAATTACCATTGAACCATCAATCCATCATCACATGCTGTTCATTTTAAGTTAAACAAAACATATTTTAGAGAAAACACTGGGCTAAAAATGCAGTGCTTGTAGAACCATTTCCTTTAACAAAATTAGCTCAAGAAGAAATCAAGCCATAAATGGTTGGAAAATTAATCCTATAATCAGAAAATGATGTTTGGTGAACAATGGAGTTACCTTATAATTAGAATACTGCTGAAAATATTGTCTCTCTTTGGACTCCAATATTGTCAGGTTAGTTTTCCAGTATTCCATTTGTGCTTCACAAGGAGAAATGTCATCTTCAAGTTGTGCAAGTGTTCTATAAGATACATTATTCAAAGGCAGTAATAGCAAAATCAGATAGTGATCAACCTCTGCCACTTGAAAATCCTTGATTGGTATCAATAATTAATAGCATAACATTTGATCAATAACATAACTAACACCATCTATCTACAGAGTTACCTTTTTAGATATGTCAATCTTGAAATCGCCTTCCGAGTGTAATCGAGAAGAACTTTGGATTCGTTCTGCACTTTAACCCTCTTCTCTTCTACTGCTGTTTTTCTCAAAGACAGATCTGCTATTGCTACAAGGAAGCTAAAATATTCTGTTCCTTAAGAATTCGAACCAGGAAACAAGTAGAAAAGAATAACATGAGACAAAAACAACAGCGCCTACCCACCTACTCAATTCAGTGTCTCTAATATTCAACAAATTTGACGTGCTGGCAAGGACTTGTGCAGATGAAACCACATTCGGGGTTAAACTCTCTTGGCCCAATCCAATGTTTTCTAATATCTCTCTTATCCTAGCAGCTTCAATCAAAGAGGATTCAGCCAACCAAAACATACACATGAAAAAGGGGACCCGAAAATCAGCTATTATCATGGAAGATTCAGCCAAACAATTGCAAGAAATACAACTTGACAAGGAACAGTTTACCGATGAATGACGGATCAAAAACATAAGCATGAAAGGGGGGATATACAAATCAGTGAGAAGGTAGATCGCAGAAGTACCTTGAGACCTATATTCAGCAGCTTTTTGACGGAAATCTCTGGCAACAACGGCAGCGGCTTGATTTTTGGCCTGAGAGACGGTAGCAATTCGGTGCAAATGCGCCACGCTTCGCGCAGTGTATTCGAAATGGGGGACGTCCTTCCCTACGGCGTCAAATTGGGAAGTCAGCCATGATTTTACTTCAGCGATTCGACTCGCATCAAACGCATTGCCGGTCTTCGGCGGCGTTTCCGTTGATACTGAAGTGTCGCCTCCGCTAAACATTTCGCTCATCTTGCTCGGCTGATCGACCGCCGGCGAAGCACAGCGGGCGTCAATGCTCGACAGTGAAGCCAGTGAACGCGAGTTTAAAATGACACCCTTCCAAATCTTAGATGCAGGTTCGGTTTTTATTTCTATTTGTAAAATTTGTACACCCCATTTCTACACCACCAACTAGTTTTAATTAATTTTTATTTATTTATTTTTTTTGATTTTCTTGGACAAGGAGGGGTAGGACCTTTGGTGTATCCCTAGTATTTTTCAAATTTGTATCCCATTTTAGCTGATGTACCACATTTTGTATTGGTGTAACGTTAATTTTTTAATGCACCAACACTTTGTGTTAGTGTAAATTTTTTGTTAACGCACTAACACTTTGTGTCAGTGTGAACCAATCAAAATGTTGGTGCACACCTTTGGTGTACAAATGGGTACAAATTTTGGGTACCAATTTTGGGGTACAAATTTTGTATCTCATTTTGTACACCGCAGGGATGTACCAACATTTTATATTGGTGTAATGCTAATTTTTATCAATGCAGCAATACTTTGTGTTAGTGTAAATTTTTGTTAACGTACCAATACTTTGTGTCAGTGTGAACCAATCAAAATATTGGTACATACATTTGGTGTACAAATGAGTACAAATTTTGGATACATGTAGCATGTTCCAAACCAAAATCTTCATCCATAATAATTCTTGTTAGGAGGAATGGAAAAAAGAGTAAAATACTTTGTGTATTCTAAAATTAATTTCTCAGTTCGATTTTCGTGATCAAACTTGTTAAATTTTGACTGTATATTACGTAAAAAATACACTGAATTTTAATGTAAATCAAATATCAAATAACTCATTTAGAAACATAGTTTTAGAATATTTTATTTTTATAATATATATTTATACCTAAATAGAGATACTATTCTTTTTCTCTCAAATTAAATTGTTTGTTTACTATTCACATGGTCAAACTCCATTCACCTTCTTTCTATATTTTTGTTAGTCATAAATAATATCTTTGTTTTAGTTTTTAAACATGTAATTTTTATTCTTTAGTTCTATGCTATTTTTCATATAAAATAATTTAAAAATAATTTTAGTCAAACATCATAACGTGCAATGGAAGTTTATTGTTGGACGAAGAGAGTAATAATTACGGAGTAGAAAATACTACATGTAAGAAAGTAAAAGAACTCATCTACATTATTGTGATAATTTAATATGTTTTCATTAAATAAGAACATTTGCAAAGCTAGGATTATGATAGTTGAGTATCTATTCCAGGCTAGATGATAGTTGATGCACTCTTTGTTGTACGCTTTGTATGTTCTCTGCTTGTAGTGCTTCCCGTCTTTGGCTTCAGTTTGCCATTTGTCTCTTTGTACTTTGTACTCTCTCTACTCTATGTGTATTTGTGATCTTTATTATTGGTATTGCATGAGGCAATGTTTGCGTATACATAGCCTCCACAAACTATACAACCGTGAGATCCAACTAGATTGTTATAGGAAAAATGCTAGGGGTACACCAAAAGATGTACCCCAATTGTCCCCCACCCCCTCCTTGTCCATAATAATTGGCAAGAAATTCAAAAAAAAATTAAAAAAATAAAAATTAAATAAAGATGTGTGGTGGAGAAGCATGTGGTGTACAATTGGGGTACACCAAAGGTGTACCCTAGCATTGCTCTTGTTATAGACTACCTTTTACGTTATAAATTTTACAATGTTATCATTATATTATACGTAGTATAGCATTCCTGAATAGACAAAACTGAATGATACAATTCTCGTTATAAATACTCTCCCTGTCCTAAAATTAATTTCTCAGTTTGACTTTTTTGGTCAAAATTTTTAAACTTTGATCACATATTATGGAAGAAATATACTCCGTATTAAATTTTTGTATAAATTTCATATCAACAGATTCATTTTAAAGCATATTTTCCTAATATTCTAATTTATACTAGTAGTACATAATTATATATATGAATAGAGATATTAATGGTTAATTTGTTACATTAGAGATTGTGAAAAGTCAAATGAGAAATTAATTTTAGAACGGAGAGAAAGTAGCATTTTTCCGAGAGAAAGTTAGAGTGTAAGACGCTAAAATTAACGCAGGCACCGGACATTAAATTATACAAGTAATAAGCTTGAGCTTATCAATTTGCTTTGGAGTATATATTTCAAAGGAAAGATTAAAAGAAACACGTACACGAACCATATACAGCATTTCTCCAGAGGAGAAAATAACAAAATAAGAGAAGCTAGAAAACTTGGAAAGATGATATTCTTCAGGCTGAAATCCATATGAAAGCACCGGCCTTTGACTACCTGCATCATCCACAAATGGTTTGCAATTCTGTGAGCTTTAGAGACCATTACAGATTCACCCAAACAAATGCAATAAATACAGTCCCTATCATCCACAAAGAAAAAGAAGATATGCATTGTGGAAGAGGAGTACCGTCTCTTTGACCGGAGAGTTTTGCTGGAAGGGAAAGAATGAAGAACTTGGTCCACTTTGTTGGGTTTCTTTTGGCTTGATCTAGATGCAACTGCATAGTGTGACAATGCAGATGATGATGAACAACATTGAATCTATCATAATAATATGATATTGGAACAAAAGACGGAGAAGGCAGAGTTCGTAGAGCAAGTATTGGTAGCACAACTACTAAGGGTTTGTTCTGTTGATCTGATCCGATTGATTCTAATCTGATCTGATCTAGTTGTAGTTGTATTTAAAGTTATTTCGAATATGGCCGGATCTGATTCGAATAAGAATAAATTAAAGAGAGCAAGCTCTAACTACCTATGGGATGAACGAGTGGTGACTGAACTTCATTTTCCTCCAACTCTGTGTCTGTTGTCAGCTCACTAGAAGCACAAGAATCTGCATTGGACTCCTCGGTTGATTTTATCTCCCGGCTTGTGGACTTTGTTGATCCTTCAGTTGATGGATCGTTGACTTCACCTTCTGCTCCACCTTTTTTGTACCAGAAAGATATCAACAAATGACCAAAATGAAAAGAATATATATGGGATCCTCTTGGAATCCCCAGAAAGGAAATTTGGAAGGGAAAATACCCTCAGTTGCAGTACCCTTAGTGTTTGTTTAGAAAATCCAAACATAAAAAGAGTACCAACTTTTCTTAACATTTTTTCACATTCCCTAACATTTTCAGAGTCAAACATACCCTTACAAAACCTAAGAAACTTACCTTCTGTGACTTCAGATTCACTGCTCTCCTCCACCTCTTTTTTACTTGCCATAAAGCTCTCAAGGTTTGCCATCTTTTCTTGATGCCTTTGAGCATTCTTTGCGGCAAGTTCTTGCTCTTTCTTTTCAATGTGGAATCTATTAATCTTTTCTTCAAACTCTTCAATGCATGACTTGACTTCTGGCTTAGAAAACTTCTTCACCTAATTAAGGAAATATTTGAGGAAATAAGTTTCCAGAAAAAAAACAGACATTATGATTCCATGGCGCAGAGAAACATTAAGTACCTTGGTTATTATGTTCTGAAAATGATCCATTACAGCATCCTCAGATAAGGCATGTTCGTAGGTTTTAAATAACTCAATCAGCTTCTTCATGCTCTTCTCATTGAATGTTAACTGAGAAAGACAATATGAAATGTATTCCCACTGCCTAACATCTGTATCAAAAGAAGGCCACAGGGTACACAAAGTTGCTCCAGTTATCATTCTACGTGCGCAGAAGGGGAAGAATTAAAACAGTGTAATATTATCTCAACGATTTAGAGCACTTCCAAAATTGATTTAGAAATTTCAAGCACGGGACAGGCAGCTTATTTAATTTACTAATTAACTTGCGCATACTTTCAAACACACACACACACAAAATCCTCTTCACCTCTTGCAAGTTGCAACGTATCTGACCAGGAAAAAATACTCTCCGTTCCATAAAAGTTGTTCCACTTTGACTTTCACGGGATTTAGGAAAAGTCAAAAGTGTGTGATTGGAATTTATGCAAAGAAAATTTCTGAACCACATGTTCTTTTCCCTAAAAGCAATGTGACATTTTTGTACAAACGAAAAAGAAAAGTGAGACAATTATTACGAGATGGAGAGATCATAATAAGAGGAAATAAATTATGAACTCAGCTATAAACATGTAATGCCCAAGAGCAACAAGAATTCTATATTGCAAATTACCATAATCTTATATTCTTAAACTAAAGTGTGCAACATTTCTTCAAAACTGTATTTTCTATTGTATTCTTATTCAATTCACTTTCTTCTAAAAAAACTCAATGGCCATCATTAATATAGAAAGCTAAACAAATACGAACAATTAAATGGGTTCCGAAAGTTCCACACCTGTAACTCCACTAAACCTAATACAAAGCTTCTCAACAAGTGCTTCCATCTGTCTGTCCTAAAAAATTCAAAAGATGCATGTCCGTGAATCAAAAAGCACAAGTTGACACTATTTCAAGTAACTAATAATACCTTCTTGATTGAACCAATTAAAAATTGCATGATGTTGCAAAATGATTCTTGCTTCAGGTTCTGTGTAGATAACTTGCCCAGGATATCTGGAAGTAGGTTATATATTGGATTGCTTCCTGAAACAGAAACCAGAATACCAGATGGCTCATGTCTGCATCACCTATGCTAACTTATAGGCTATAGCTTAAAGACGCTAAAGAGAATAATCATCAAAGAGTATGTGCAATTTGTAATATTACCCTTTTTTGACAACTCATGGAAGAACAGTTTGGCAAGGCTTGATATTTGTACATCCTCGTCTTCTAAGCAGATTGTCATTTCATTTATATAACCTTTTACCTGAAGCAACGCATGAAACAAAATTCTTAACATTGCTGCTGAAAAGAGGCTTGCAGGTAGAGCAATTAGTTCCCTTTACCTTCATCATGTCATTTAAGATGAGATGGGACAGAACTAATACAGCATTCTTCCTCACAGAAATTGATGGATCTCTTAAACGTGCATACATGTGCTCGGTCCATGGCTCTAACAAGTTGGGAAAACGAACTGCCAGATCCCCGAGTGCAACCGTGCAATTTAAACGAACAGTTTCTGATGGGGCATTCTCCACAACAGTAAACAAGAGTTGGAGATTTTCATCACTGCATATTATAATTGGATTTAGACTTATTTCTTATTGCCATTATATCTTAAAAGCAAAGAGATAGACAGCAAACTAACCAGAAGGCAGCATCAATTATCATAAAACGACATAACGAGAGCATTCCAGATGCCTGAAGTTCAGGAAACTGAAAGATTGAGAAGCCATATCAGTATGTGGAACATATTCATATCCAAATACTCTTAACGCACGAAAAATAACATCTATCATCCATGGTATGTAAGGATATGCAGTACTTCCTTTATTAAAATGTTGAATTAAAAGAAGGTTGATAACATAACCCATGAAAAAGCAAAGCAATCACCTTCTGCATAAAAGCATAGTTCCTACATAATTTTGAAAGAAAAGGGGCACAATGCCCAATCAAAAGCTTCCCCTTAGGACCACCAGAAATGATTTCTTTTTCTGCTCTTTCAGCAAGTGCATCCAGTAAAGCATCTTCAGATGCCGCCACACCTAACTCGGCATTGATACTTTTATCCTACAATGTGTCAATATAAGTCAGAACAAAATGTAATTATATATAGTCAGATAATTAAGAAGACATCCACAGTATATTCTCCATGTATGGGAAAGTGCGAGATTCAGATCACCTTCTGAGCCTCAACACTGGCGTTATCAGCATTCTGTTCAGAAACCATTCTCTCCTTCTTTACTCTCTCTTTCTGAATCTTCCGGACTAGTGATTCAATGTAAACCAAATGGTTCATAGCTACATGGCTTACAATAAATAGATATTTACTAAGTTTTGGTACACTAATGGATACATTCAAATTGGAGCTTCCATTTTCAATGTCAGTTTGTAGCTCTTCCCCCCCGCTGCAATCCAACACGGAACTAAGAGATCTTTTCACCAGATCAACAGCTACTTTCTCAGGAGAATGATGAATTGTGTATATAGTAGTTATTGCTTTATCAGCAGTGGCGTACCATATACTTTGAGGAAGTGAATGTCCAATAACTAAACTTTCTAAGATGCCAAATACCCGACGTCCATTAGTAAACAACAACTTTTTTCTGTCTTCTTCAGATAACCTTTGCAATGCAGTGCATGCTGTGCTTGCAAGTAACGGCTCAACTTTTGCCCAGCGTCCAAACCCAATGTCGATAATATCTGAAAGATGGGAGCTGAAAACCACAGTTGATGTTTTTGCTGCCATGCACAATACAGACAAAGCGCCACGACTTTGCTTGGCTGTTGTTCCACCAATATTGAAACAAAAGAAATCCCATAGTGCTGATAACTGCAAGACAAAATTATTTCAAAGTCTTTCCTCAAAGATTTCTTATCTACATTACTGCAAGAATTTGTTACAAACGTGAAATATCATATAGAATAGTTTATGCAAAGATCCAGCAGTTCTTTATGGAAAATCTTCAACAGCTAGAGCACATACTTTGTTTCTATGATCAATATGGTTTTTATATTTGGAACTCGAAGGCATGTTCATAGTTACTGTGTTCATCTATTATATCTTGATATGCCAATAGCACATCATCAGTGGTGCTTAATGTGGCACCACTCATTTACTAAGAGAAGCTCTCAATTGCATTGATTAAACATACCATGCTAGATGTTATATCGCCTTTGGATACCAATTCTCCAATTATGAGCTCAAGTGCTGCAAGATCTCCAATATTTGAATCAATAGCAAGACACAAGAGATTCTTTGCAGTTTCTATTGGGTTCTTCTGTATGTAAATCGTTATGAAAGCATTCTCAACTGCTTCATGAATTGCTTTGTCCTGTGAAAATACCTGCTCATTTGGCATATTTTGACCCAACATTAGGTTAGAATAAAACAGCATTATTTGACGAGATATCGACCCTCAGGTTACTGTCAGCTCTTAATTAGAGTGGACGCCTCGCATGGAGAATCAGAATAGTCCCATCTAATAACAATAAAGCAGTAAGGAAATATGTTTTGACTGTAATGATGGTCATCAGCATTTACCAGGGGCAACATCCTGCGGAGGCATGCTTCTGAACCATCAATCTGAAACTGTCTGCACCTCATTAGCAAAAGAATCGTGTTCTCCACATCTGTGGCAGAAGATGATGCCATTAGTTGAACAAGGGTTGACATGGTAGCAGACATACATTTAGAAAATTGAAGTGCCGTCTCTAATGATGCAACCAAAGTCCTTGTTTCCTCCAGGGTACCAACATCTGGCACATAGTTATCCTTATGTGTGGTATGCTCTTGCATTTGAGACAAGCAGCTATCCGTTAAACTATCATTCAGTTCCTTGGACATCCCTTCAGCACCTTCCACGTGTAACTTGCCATCCCAGTTGCAATCTTCACCATTCAGAACAGTCTCTGATTGAGCAGGTGGTCCAAGTGCATTCAGTTTCTTCTTGTATTGTTCTAGAGTTGCTTCAAAAGTGGATATTCGAAGTTGTGGACCAAAAGGGTTATGCTGAAGCATTACAATGAGTAAATTAAGTGCAGATTTACGGACAATAGCACTCTTATCCTCTAACCTTCCAGCAGCCAGTGCAGCAACCTCATTCCACATACCAATTGAAACAGAATGCTCTTCACATAATTCAGCCCAAACTTGAAGGACTCGACTCCGTGTATAAGCTGAGACATCTCTACAACGTTCCAACAGCATTTCCAGCATTTTCTGCTTTGTTCGAAGGCTAATAGATTTTAAACTCATTTCACCTTCAGTGCCATTGAAGGCCTTTGCAACCAACTTCCCAAACACCCCGACAAGAGCATTTCTTATCTTATAAGATTCCCCATCAAAGTGAGGGATCAATAATCCCACATTAGTTGAAACTAGCTTAGGCAACTGATCAGCAAGCTCAACAAGGAACCTTCCTATATTTTCAGCTCCAACAGCATCTTTTACATAATCTGTTGGGTTTGTCCTTCCGATCTCTCTAATAAGAGAAGTGGCCAGGGTTCCATCTGCAAACTTCTTTTCGGCCCCAGCAACTGCATCCGCCAAGTGAGGAACAGTATAGTCATATTTGTGAATCAAGTGAAGAATTGAAGCACATGATTGTGCTGTATGATGGAACTTAGTTGCACATGTCGCTATTATCCGGTTCAAGGCATCCCTTGTAACTGAATCCTTTAAAATTGTAGGCTTCTCATACATGGTGAAAGTATTCCTGCAGTTATTCATATTTCATTACGACAGTTTTATCAATGTCGACCTATACATAACACCGCAAACCACCTATTTTTATAAGAGAAGATTTCATAGCTTACTTCACAATGAAAGACAAGTAATTTTCATCAGGATCTGAAGAGCCAAAAAGCACAGTGAGGTTGATCTCTAAGGAATTAGCAATTAAAGTCAGTATCTTTGCCCTTTGGGGATCCCAATTCCAAGTACTAACATGTTGCTTCTTCCGCCCATTGGCCATCACCACCTAAAATTATCAGCCAATGCCCATCAGTCACTGAAGATTTATTTAAAATAGAGTTACACAATGAACATTGGCCATCACTACTCTTAGAATTATTAATTGCACTTAAAGAGGCTGGTGTATGGATCAATAGGACGCAACAACCAATGACCAATTCATCCGGAAAGAGAACTAAATAAGGAAATTCGAGCTGTCGATACATATATATACAGAGAAAGAAACACTGATAGAAGGTGTGTGGCACAAAATTTACTTTTGTACTGTTGTTAGGGGTTGATTTAAACTCCTCAATAAGCACAATATGCATGAGAAAGAATGAGTAAATCTTGAAAGCATTCCGGTGTGAGGCCAAGCGATCAGAAACTGAACTGTCCTCATCGTCTCCTTGGTCGCTATCATCGTCACTGCGTCTCCCATCCTGATTCTGGCACGACCTTGAGAACAAATCCACATTTGGGAGCAAAACACTGAGATTAGACCTCAGAGACTCAACCAAATTGAGCTTACAAGGCGGAGATAGCTTTGAGAAATCCTTCACAAGCGAGTACACCCGGTCGAACACATCCTGCTCTTCGATGCAGAAGAGCTCCTTATCGGTTAGGTCATAGGACACGCCTGTTCGCCAGGAAGAGAAAACGGAGGGGAATGTGAACGCAATCGGGATATTCAAAAAAAAACTGTTAGGAGCGAAGTATGTAGGGTTGGAACTTGGAATTGGAACTTACCTTTCACGAATTCTTCCTGTTCAGATGAGCGAAGAGAGGAAATGGAGGTGAGGTTTTGTACGGTGAGACGGCTGCCGTCGGCGTCTTCTTCCTCCAGTGAATGGAGATTTGGGGGTAAAATGAAAGGCGGGGCCATTGTAGAGAAAGAGCCCAGAAAAATGAGTCTGTGTTGGTTTTGAAATTCAAATTTGATGGAGAAAATGGGGAGGGGGACTCTATCAACGTTACACTGATACACTCCGTAGTAAGAATGGTCCGGTTGACAAGGGTCGATTAACCCCATTTCCTAATAATTGTCCTTAACTTTGCTCTCTATAATTATTTTATGAAGTATGGTGTAATTATGTTTTAACATTAAAGTCATATTTTCTTCAACTTATTTTTATTACTTATTATTATTTTTTCTTATTAAAATCAAATCGAATCAAATACGATTAGAAATAGTTTTAATATGACAACATTCAGATCAGATTAGATCAGATGAGAATTTATTCCAATCAGATTAGAACCATTCAAATCAGGTAAGAAGAACATGGCTATTACATATATGATAGTTGACTGAATATATTTTAAATTTAGTGATATTAATTTGGAAGCTCATTCAAATTCTATTCCAAGTAAAAGCATTGACTTAAAAATATAAACAGATGGTATATTATGATACAGTGAATAAAACTAAAAATCATTTCATAGTGCTTATATCTTTTTGCAATATGGCCATTTTTGACACTGACTTTGTCTGATCATGTGACATTTTTGGTATTATGCTTTGTTAGAATATGTTTTAGGGTTTGATAGTTTTCCTATTTTTGTTATAGTAGGAATAGAATTATGGTAGAAATATGACTTACTTATTTGTTTTACTTTCTTCTTATATAAAGAGACTCAATCTTTGTAATTTTCAAGACAATTCAATATATAATTATTCTTCATTATAATTTTCTACATGGTATCGGAGTCATCGTTCTTGGTGGCCTAAAACTTATGTCTTCGCTCCTGGCGGGCGGCGCCACCGCCATTAGCCGTCCGCCAGGCTGTTGTTCTTCTTTGTTCCTTGTTCCTTGCGTTTAGATCTATAGATCTGTAGTTGTTTCCCTATCCCAGTCCCAGGTCAGTCACCGTAAACCAACACATCGCCAGAGTTATTGGTGCCTCGTCGCCTAATTCTAGGTGTGTCGCTGCCAATCATTATTACCATCACCATACTGCATATCGTGCCACAGCTGCCCACAAATAGGTCCGTTGTCCGCCACTCAACCTCCGCCATCATTAACAGTCAACCGCTAGGAGTCCCATCCGTCCAGCAACTTCTCCACCTGGTTCGTCCGTCCTCATCTTATTGTTGGATCGTCATCAAACACCCATCATCAACAACTAGTCGACATATGTTTGCTTTTCCCGCGTGGGAGTCATTCGTCATCAATTCTGTCTGTTTGTTTGTCGTCCCGCGTGGGAGTCATTCGTCATCAAGTTTTGGTTGTTCGTTTGCTCTGCCAGTTGCCTTCATCCGTCGTTGGCATAACAAATCAAAATTTTGTCCAAGTTATTTATCACGTTGTTTTTTTCTAGTTCTAATTTTATTGTTCAAGTTGTTCATTCATGATCTTCATTTTCAACTAGAGGGTCGGGGGAGTGTTAGAATATGTTTTAGGGTTTGATAGTTTTCCTATTCTTGTTATAGTAGGAATAGAATTATGGTAGGAATATGACTTATTTATTTTACTCTCTTCTTATATAAAGAGGGCTCAATCTTTGTAATCTTCAAAACAATTCAATATATAATTATTCTCCATTATAATTTTCTACACGATTTGACAATATTTTGTTTTTGAAGTTATTTGAACACTATGGAAAGGATGAGTCCCATCTCTGTGAGGCCCCTCAGACCCGGACGGACGGTCACTGAGAGGAAGTAAATTGGACTTTAAAAGTAGATTGGAGGTAGGAAATGAAGCATACTTGCCTCCTAACCCGGTCAGAGGTCTTATGTTTAGCATAGTTGCCTCCTAACCCGGTCAGAGGTCTTATATTTAGCACAGTTGCCTCCTAACGCAGTTCTCAGAAATCGAACTCAGTTCTATCCTCTTAGCACTCCCTGTCTTTACGAAATGCGCAACGCTCACTGCTATTTAAACACTATAAGGCTTGGCAGGGTGGAGTAGAAGGCGGCACCAACAGAACAAAGAGGTGGCGGTTGAGTGGAGGTGGTACTGTGATAGTTAATTAGGGATTGTAGTTTATTTTTTGTTTATTTAATTTGTAAACAAATTTAATTTTATTAAATAAATGAATTATTGGTAAATAAGAGACTGAAGATCATGTTTTATAGAAAATATTTTAGTTATAATTTAACCATCTCTATTTTGTGTGTTATATAATTTTATTAAACTAAAAAATTATACTTATGGATCATAGCATTGGATCACCTAGTAGAATGAGTATGTTTCAAAAATAGTACTCAATAACGACGTATTTTTCTAAATTAATCTCCAAGATAGACTAATTACTAAAATAGTACTCATTAATTAAGAATAATACACAACTTAGTCCCCTGACTAACGGTCATCAATACAATGTTAAAACTTATACTAATTTCTCATAATATTATTGCATGATTTCTCAATTTGGTCGATTTTTAAAATAAAAATTTGTTAAATATAACAAAATAATTTGAAATTTTATAGGATGAGAATATAATAGATAAAATTATAATTTTTTTAAATTTAAAAGTAAACGTTTTAGATTGTTTACAATTATTTAGAATAATATATTTTGTAAATAAAATAACTAATAAACGTTATTCAGTTACTCCCCGAGTTTTAAAATAAGTCTCATGTTTTGGTTTACAGTGTCTAATAGAAGTTGTTTTCAAAGAATTATAACTCAAGATTGATCTAGAACCTAATTTGACTTTGTGAATAGTAAAAATGAGCCTTATTTGGACATGAATGAATTAGTATTTAGTCACAATAATTTCATAACGATCGAACTCAATTTTATGTAAATATAAAATTTATACTTTATTTTCATAAAAATTAGAGTAAATCTCATAATTAGTCCTTTATAATAGCAAAATTTTCCTATTTAGTCCTCTATTATCAAATATTATCTCGATGGTCTTTCTTTTATGGATATTTTTCTACGAATAGTCGTTGTTTTATCTTATATCATATTGATGTTAACTTGAGGGCTAAAAGTGTAATTTCAAAATGATAATATATCTTTCTTCTCATACACAATTCCAAAGGCCGATCTTGATGTGTCCTTTGTGAATCACAACCGCTTTCTACTACAATTATGGTCTACAGATGTGGTCTTTCGTCGGAATCCTAGCTCGAAATCATAGTTATTATTTTTGTGTTAATCGTCTAACCAATATCGAAATATGTCACTGGACATAAGGTTGATGTCAAATTATACTTTTAGCCTTTAATTAACACCAACATGACAAAAGATTAAAAAGGACCATTTATGGAAAGACACCCATAAAAGAATAGCTACGGGAGTAATATTTAATAATAGAAGACTAAATATGAAAACCCATGTTATAAAAGAACAATTACAGAATTTGTCAAAAATAAGACTAAAGTTAACAGACAATTCTAGAAAAATTGTTATTACAAGAATCTGCTGATTTTGCAACAACTAATTCTCGTCGCAAATTTGAGAAAACTGTAACAGATTCTTTATTTACGATGGAATTGAGACAGTAAAGTGTCATCGCCAGGCCATAATATGCGACGGAAAGTTGCACCCGTCACAGATCTGCGACGGAGCTGCGCCAGAATTAAGAATGTCCAAGTTTGATCTTATCTGCGACGGAGCTGGCCTCCTGTCGTAAATCTACAACGGAGGCTGTAACACCCCAACTCATATAACCCGAATACCCGATTACCTAGATTATTTGAGCCGGAGTAGTTACCATGATGGTAATTACGGATGACAATTTGATGAATAATTCAAATTAATTAAACTTTAAATAAAATAATAAGTTCAAATATTTATTTCGGAGTAATGTTTGAAACAATGCAGAAGCTTAAATATAAAACATAATCAAGTCATAGTACATTTTCTGGGAACTCGCCTGAAAAGGTATTTATTTAAATAAAGCATAATAACTGTGGTCCACCGGGATGGGCTTAAATAAGCATAATAAGCTTAAATAAAACATAATCAAGTCATAGTACATCTCATCACTCTCGTTGACCTCCGGGATGGGCTCCATGATCAGTATTGTTACCTGTGTGTAGACATATAATTATTCATGATATGGCATAGTATAACATATACGCTCAAGATGATGATGATGATAAATACTTGATGTCATACATGATCATCATGATTGTACTTGATGATGATTTCATGCTGTATGAATCTAACGTGCAAGCATAACCCTTGCGCTATGAGAATCTCTCATTTGATACGACGAACTCACGCCACCTTAGTCTCACGGGTGAGACTAGAAAAAATGGGAGTGGTACTCAAAAGCCTGAATACCATGTACGTACACTAAGCCCGAACGTGTGATGTCGGATTGCTAAGTCCCGCGCACAATCACGTTATAAGAGACGCACGAGGCATGATCTCTTACGCATGCATATGATGTGATATGCTTCAATATGGATGATGAAATGAATCATATGATATGAACAATTTGCAAACAATATGAATATATAATCTTGCATTAGTTTATTTGGATGAAACATGTTTAAAATATCATTTTAAGTAAGTTACGGGGCTTGGAACGGTTGACCGTGCTTGAATTCATCTCGTCGGATTTCGGATCACCGTGACAGTTGACCGTGGTTGACCGGCGGTTGACCGTTGTTGACTGGCTGAAAGTAGCGGCATTCGGATGGGCTGGCGACGGTCAACCGTTTGACAGCGGCGGTCGACCGTTCTGCTCACAGTCGTGGTCCATTTCAAAGTTTAACATGACGGTCGACCGTTCGGGTTTGTGAATCTTATATTTGATATTTTGGGTGTTTAAAATACTACTTTAAGTCATTTTAACACCTATGATTAACATATATATGTATTTTAAGTATTCCTAACAATATATATCCATGTATGGAAGAATATCAAGAAACACATATTTTAATTTTATGGGTTTGATAAGTTTGTTCTTAAAATATAGATGACTTATAATATGACAATCAATCCTAATGATATATCTAGATTGATATTCAACTAAGGATTGCGTTACTGGGGTGCAATGTACTCGCCTTGATATCGTAGAGGACAGAAGTGATAAAAAAATGATAATAATGTCTCAACGAACGTTCAATGTACGGTCACCCTGATCAACTTCAAGCTTCTGACGTCTAACCTTCTTGAAAATAACCTCCGTAAGTTCCTAATAACCATTAGAGAGTTGACGGTAAGCGTTTGGAAAGAAACAATATAAATATGGTAAAGAAACATAGCCAACCCGAGGAGCTCGCCACCATTGGTGCAGTCCTGGTACTTTGGTCATATCTCCTTCAATACTTAACGAAATCACAAATCGTTTGTTGGGTTGGATTCGTAACGTTCGGGGCTATATCTAGAAAATGGATAGAAAATTACAAGATTGAGGAAGAAGTTGTTGTTGTGTTTTGAACTTGGGATTTTGGAAAACTTTGATACTTCTTCTTGCTCCTTCTTCTTCTTGGCACAAAAATGGAGGTAGATGAAGTTGGTTTCTCCCCTTCCTGGACTACCGACAGAGAGAGAGAGGAATGAAGAGATTGTGGATGATGATGATGATAATGTATGAGAATGATGATGGTGGCCTGGTGAGGTAATATTATAGGGAAGGAGTTTGGAGTTTAATGTTAGTGGAGTCTCCTAGGCATTTCTAGAGTGGCTAAAAGAGGATTTGAGGAGAGGCTACGTGATTGAGAAAAATTTTAGGATTTTAAAATATTCTCCTACTCCGTAACTGATAAACTGACTAAAACGATACACGTTTTTTCACCCAAACTGGTCTGAATTGAAAACAGATCACATTTTTGGAATCTGTCAAAACTAAAACTTTGATATCATTAAAATATTTTTTTAAAAACTTTTATTTTCAGTGTTCGGGTCTGTCTCAGTCATTAATTAATAATTAAATTAATAATTATTTTCGGTCTAATTTCGGGGCGTTACAGATGCTATGACGGGTTTTTGTTAAGCTACGATATTTGTTATCTACGAGAGAATGTTATTGTCGTTGCGAATCCATCGCAGAGAGCACAATTACATACCCCAGAATCTGGTTTTTCAAGTGATCTGCAGTTTTTCAATAAACACATACCGTTCACGGGGTGGGACAACCATAAACACGTAACATAATACAACCACAAACAAATTTTAAATATAAACATCAAATGAATTCCACATTGTAATGTAGAAAAAGTACAAATATTTAAGTTAATTTAATGTATACATAAAAACCATTCAACTCAAAGATTTTAATTCAAACACTCTAACAAACTACCTCTGGTCGCCCTAATCCCTCGTTCTGTCATCCTCTCGAGAAGGGTTGTTATTACCATACATTTTTTTTAAACCTTCTTGGATTGTTCTGAACTTAGAGGCTAGGGCTTCAACCTGTTCTTGGAGGTGTTTGTTATGTTCTTTCAGGATCTCCATTTCACACGTCTTACTAGCAGAGGAGCTAGAGCAGCGATGGGTGGAGGATGACTTCAACTTTCTCATACTATGCTCGTAGACACCGACTCCTGGCACGCGATTCTTCGCATTGTGGCCCTAGACTAGTGAGTACTAGATTTGGTCATCGGTGACATCAAGTCCATACCATTCTTAATATCCTCATCGCAAAGAGCAATAAATCGAGTTTAAATGCAAACTCCATCGTAATTCCATCATAGATATGCGACAAACTTTGGTTTGTAGCAGATTTTCCTTGCAGTAATGACATATTCTTATAGTGTTACTAATATTTATTTAAAAGTAATTTTCGTCAAACATCATAAACCGGAGTAAGATTCTTATTTCAGAACGAATGGAGCCTAATATTAAATCATTTATTTACATGATATTTTCCTAAATACTATTAAACAATTTGAAATGTTTACTTTCAAATTTATTAAATTATATCTCTAGTTTTATTTATTATATTCTCATCGTATAAAGCTTAAAATTATTTTTTCCATATTTAATGAGTTTTTATTTTGAAAATGGACTAACTTGGATAAACACCTAATTACAAAGGCCTTTTTTGAAAATTTAGTCGATATAAATTTTGATGCTGTTCTGACGGTGATTAGTCAGGGGACTAACATGATCATTATTCTCAATTAACGAATATCATCTCGATAATTAATTTATATTGGGACTAGTATGAAAATATGCATATTTATTGAGTACTATTTCGAGAATTTACTCTAGTATTTTAAACCAATAATTAGGGTATTAATGGTTTAGATATATATAATGAGAGTATTTTAAAAAGCAAAAATGTTTAGTTACAGTATTTTTCCCGTCAAAGAAAACATGTAAATAACACATTTAATAAGAGTGTGTCTAACCCGTCATAATTGATCCATAATTAAAAACTGTTTTTCTTGTAGTGTTGTTTCAAAATAAGATTTTCTATGCTTTATTCCGAAATAAAAGTATTGCACTATGAAATGACTGTAATTTTGAAATGTGTATTGACATTTTATAGTATTGTTTTACACATATTTTACTCATAGTTAGGTATTTCAGTCGAATCTATCTACTATGCAATGTTTGGAATTTCACATTGTGTGTTCACATTTAACAATGTTCCTTGGTATAATGTTTTGAAATTATTTATCATTAAGACTATTTTAATGTAGAAATATTGAATATTTTATTTGATATAATGTGAATTCGATAAGTGATCCTTTATAACAGAAAGTTTTCATATTTAATCATTTATTATCAAATATTACGTTTGTGGTCCTTTTTTTATGATTATCTTTTCACAAATAGTTTTTTTTGGCTTTATGTCATGTTAGTGTTAAATTGAATGTTAAAAGTATAATTTTACAATGATCATATCTCTATTTTTATCATAGCCAATGTCAGAGGTCGTTGTTAATGTGTCATTTGTCAACTATAGTCGTTGTATACTTCAACCATAATCTACTTCTAATGTGTCGTTTTTAGAGTCGCTGTCTATTGCAATCATAATCTACAAATGTTGACTCTAGCTAGATATGGGAATACCAATCCATACTCATAGTTATTATTGTTGTTTTGTCCATCAAGACGATATCAGAATACATCACCGAATATAGTATGGATATAAAATTGCATTTTAACCCTCAATTTAACCCAACATGACAAAAGATATATATATATATATATATATATATATATATATATATATATATATAAAGGACTATTCGTAGAATGGTACTCATAAAAAAAGATCACGAACTTAATGTTTGATAATAGAGAACTAAATATGGAAAAACAGATGTTATAACAATAATAGAATTTACTCTTTGATATATAGAGCATGTTTTAGTTGTAAACTCGTAATGATGCATTTCTCCATAGCAATTTGTGGGTTCACAATTGAATACCAATAAGATGATCCTAGCATGGTAGATGATCTAAGAATGTAATGCCCTCCAAAACAGGAGAGACACATGAATTAAACTATGGCCAAACAAGGAGCAATATCTCTCCCTTGTATCTATGCTATATATATACTATTAATACTTATATAATGTATACATATCAGTGATATAATCACAAATCTCTCTTTCTCTTTCTCCCTGCACCATTCCAAACATGCATGCAGGTAGAGAAGAAAAAAAGGACACCCATGCAATAAGAAAAAAAGGACACCAAAATCAAACACAGATATAAAAAAAAGGGGAAACTCGAAAAATAAATATCATATATAGTATTTGAGACTTGGGAATGTAATCGTCCGTTGCTCCACACGGGCTTGACAATGCACTCACCCAAGAAGTGTGTTGGCGACAATTTGGTTGCAAGCAACGACATGTTCTTCCCGCTCAGTCACTTGATCTTGATCTGTGTCAGGACCTTTGGTTCTGGTTCTCGGTCGATCTGACTCTTCCCAGACCTTCCTCTTGTTACTATTATTATTATTATTATCGTTTGTCTCGTCGGTTTGTCGAAGAGGATGAAGTTGCGTAATGATTGGAAGAAGTTGGGTAATGACCGATGACTCATCTTCTGGAGACGAGTCCTGGTCACTATTTTCTAATGCCTGAGTGTCGTCATCAATCTCGGGTTTATGCTGCTTTTCGCATCTAGCTTTCATCATACGAGGCTTGATAAGCTTGTCCACATCTGATAACCTCACTGGCTTCAAGAAAAACTCCTCTGCCCCTTCTTCTAAACATCTGTGTTTGTTATATATAGCAAAAGAATTGCCCATTAACACAACTAATCATGTTCAAGGAGGGTTAAAAAACGATTAAAACGATGCTATTTTTAACCTCGGGGATTACACCAAGGTTGACACCGCCAGTGACAATCATACAATCATTGTCTATGAAACACTAGCAATGGCCCAAAAAAGATGAACATTGTTCATAATATACCTATTGATTCTTGAAGGAACATTCTCAGATGACATTATGACTACTGGTATGTTTCTCAGAGCTGCAGATTCCTGCCAAAGATAAAGCAATTACTTTTAAGGTTGTTTGGTGCATGTTCTTTTCTAACTTATTTTCAGTTTAACATTTTTTAAAATTCAATTTCCATCAAATAGAAATTAAAACTAAAGTATTCAACTCTTAATTGTTTCAACATTTTTCAGTTCAGTTAATAAGTAAACAATCATATTTTAATTTTTTTGGCTAAATGCTGACTTATTTTAAGGTGCTGACTGAAGGTAAGATAACAAAAAGAAAATTAAGGTGCTAATGTGCTCTTTAGGGGTATTCTTGGCCATTTACAATAACTTGTTTACCAAATATAGTAAGTCAAAAAAGAAAAAGTGAACAATCAAATCCAAATGGAGAAAAAGCTATTTACAATAATCCATTCCAAGAAATAAGGTTTTCTTTTTCTTTTAAAGAAAGAATTATATTGTTCCCTTATCTTCTTTTTCTTTTGCATGACTTTTAACCACTCAATTTCACTTTTTTTATGGAATAATAATTATGCCCAGTCAAATTTGAGGGTGTATATCGTTGGGGGGGNCCCTTGCAGCACCTAATAATGAAAAGATAGGTGGGCAAGATTTCCTCCAAGATTCTCATTGATTTCAAAAATTGAAAGCTAAGAAAAGGATGTGGTCCACTTTGATGATTTTGCTACAACTTGGCTTTTGGATGGGAAATAATTTTTTAAAGAATTTTATTTTCCAATTAAAGAAAATATTAAGTAACTTAGAGTCTCTCTAAGATTTCTTAACAAAGAAAAGATATATCAAAGGTTATTGAAAAATAAAATTTTAAAACTTAATAAAATTTCAATATCAAGAATCAAGATTTCATTATAAAGACAAGAATTTCAAGAGGTCTTTAAAAATCTTCAATGTTTGACTTTAAGGGAGTTAAAGAACAGTGAAAAAATTATACATATAACTAATTAAGAATAGAAAATAAAAATCTGACCCAGATATTCTTTTTCTTTAAATAAAAAGTAAAGTTTTTTTTTGAACGAACTAAAAAGGAAAGATTGATTTTTTTTTCTTTTTGGGTGTGGAAATACCTTGATTTTCTTGAGCAAATCATAGCCAGTCATCCCAGGCATGCAGTAATCTGTGATGATAAGATTGACTTCCATCTCCTGCAATCCAATTTCCCCAGAAAACAATACACAAATTCTTTAGAAAATCAATGAAATAAATGTGAAAAAATTTATTATAGTACAAAAAAATAACCATACAAGCTAAGCCAATTAACTACCTGGTTGGTGTGGTTGGGCAAAACAGAAGGTTGGGTTGGTCTGTTCTGGTCATTTTCCAGTAAGCCAAGAAATTCCAAGGCCTTTAAACCAGAATCAACTGCAGTAACTGTCATGCATATAAACAAATTTTTTAAAAAAAGTTCTGTTTTTACCCATGAATTCATTTGACCAAGAACAAATCAAAGAATCGATTCAACTAAAAGCTAAAAAGAAACCCAAATTAAATGAATTAAAGAACCAATTCGACTAAAATCTCAAGTGAATGATTGAAAGATTTTAAATTTCTAGAGATGAGAAGAAATTGAATTGCAGACCTTGACAAGATGAAGTTTTGAAGAGCCTCTCAACAAGCTTTCTGTCAATGAGGCTATCATCAACAGCAAGAACATGAAACTGTGGGTCTGCAGCAGCCATTCCCATTCCTTCCACCAAAATCCCAAGAATTGCAGGGACTTGGATTTAAAGATGGTATATATCAAGAGAAATAAAATGGAGAAATTTTAAAAAGGGGTATATCTGTATATGTATGAATTATGATGGGAAAAAGGGGCCTTCACTATTTGTTTCTTTTCTTTTTTTGTTTTTTGAATTGTTATTTCTCACTTTTTCCCCTACTTTATAATGAGAAAGGGAAAAAAAAGACCCACCAAAATCCAAATCCCACAAAACAAGATCTGACCAGATTTCATGCGAAGATCTCCTCCCCAGTTTAATTTCCAAGCTGGGTTTTGAATAAAGAGGCGACCAATGTGAAAAGGACAATATAAAACATTATATTAGGGAGTATATATATTAATAGAAATTAATTTAATCAACTCAAAGATTGCATATATCCAGAGTGAACATGCTTAGCATCTTCTTGGGTACGAAATACGTACTCCCTCCCTCCCTCTACTATACCAAGGACTTTATTGTCACTCGCTCTCGTTTTTTTTTCATTTTTGACTCAATTTATTTAAAAGATGCAAGTAATACAGAGTACTAAACTAAAATTCAAATATATGCGTTTGAAAAATTATATCTTTACAAGAGATGATATTATTGTTATTTAAATGAGAACATTAAATAGGCAAAGAAAATTCAAAGCAATCAAAGTTTGACTGACAAATTGTGAAAAACAGATTCTTTTTGAACGGGGAGAATATTTTGTTACGTATTGAATACATTTGTTGATAGTTGGGCACTTGGGCGGGCTTTCTAAGGGGTGGACGAGGCCGGGTACTTGAGGCGCACCAAGACGCAATCATCCCGAGTACTAGCTTGCAGAGCAACTAGATACCTGTTAATTTAGTTGAAAAATATCTTACTTAAGATGGGTGTTTTTGTTTTTTCAATTAATGAAAATGTCGTTTTTATTTAAATGTTAGGTGTTAAAAAAAATAGTGAATGCTTGGGTACGGCCCTCTCCAAATCTAAGTAGTTTGAGTAATGAGTGTTTTGAAATGACAAAGATTCTACTTCTATCGGTCCAAAATAAATAAATGATATAAAAATTTGATATATCAAAACTATATCTTAAGATGAATCTAATTATATTGAATTTATACTCTAATTAAATAAATAAATATATATATTATTCTTACAATTTGCATCAAAGAGTATGAGTGTTACCTAATTTCATTGAGTAGTTTGGGAGTTGGAGTCTTGGATAATGTGCCCTCTCCACCTTAAGGTTTTGCGGTGTAGGACGGGAAAGGAGGGAGCGGAGCACCAGCTCGGACATGAGGTTGGATCGCCGGACCCCTGCTATGTTATACTTGCCCCTAGTGCTCTATTTTTCTAGATTTGCCACTAACATTTTCTAACTCCTTGCAGTTTCTTTTAATTTTTTTCAATTTCTTTCAACGTCTTTCAATTTTTTCAATTTCTTCCAGTTTCTTTTAATTTCTTTCAATATTGACTTAAAAATGATTTAGGTTTATTTTCATAGTATGTTTTTACTATTACTATTATTATCTCAATGAAATAAAAATTGATTTAATGCCACGGTTTTTTTAAAAGTTATGTCATGGATATAAATTTTAGTTACCATTATAGAGTCATGTGAATTATTAAAATGTTAAATTAATTAATTTATAATTTCTTTTTTTATTTTGAACTTTTTGTTACCTATGGTTCTTTGAAATGTGTTCTATACTAGTCAATGTTTTAAAATTTTGACCAAAATAATTATATCCTTTTTTTTCTTTCATTAAACATTACATAACTTTTAAATATGCATACACTAATAATTTGTATAATGTGCATGTTTTGAGCATACGCACATTAATGAATGTTCATACATCGGTCCAACGTCATGAAAAAAAATAGTATATACCTCATCATCATGAAACACAACCTCCATCGATCCAACGTTTCTTCCAAAAGGCCGAACGTGATAGACTCGAATAGCTCGCCCATGGATAGCAATGTTGTTGTTGTCCTTTTCGAGCTCACCCAAGATTTGTAAACAGGTCGGGGAAAACATGTTTTCGTGCCATCTCGAGAAAGATGATATATTTAAAAGTTTTAATGGAGTGAAAAATGAATTGATATTGGACAAGAGTTGTTTATAAAGTAAAATTTTCAATAGCTTTTCTAGGAGAATATAGTGATGATTTCATATTGGGATATGTTAGGCAATTAATAATCTTGATTAAAGTGAAAGCGAAACCGTCAAAATACATATCCCAAGAGTAAATATTAATGTTTTCATGGTAACAAAAAAAGTTTCATATCTAATTCAATCAATCAAAACCTGTAAGCCCAATGGAATCTGGAATACCCTTTAGGCCTTTACCCAACTCGGTCGCGGAACTGAATACCCAACTTAGACCTGAGATGTTTAGGTGGAAAATTGCAATATTCATTTCTTCTCTTTGCCTTTGTATATTACCTGCAACCCTGGTAAACTTGCGCAGTGCAATTGACGTGAGTAGGGGGATGTATTGGGGTCGGGATTGAGTCAGGGATTGGGGGGGTAAGAACTAGTAATTTTGCAAACAGAGCATCGTAAATGTTCCAATTTAGTCGATGTCCTCCGAGGCCACAAAATATTAGTGGCCATTGAACGCAATCGTAATTAATTTGGTATAAGATTCTAACACTAACTCAATTGGGACTCATATTGCACTTTGATCGTAAAATTGACAGTTCATATTCATCTAATCCTCCAAATTCAATGTGCATATTCTGTAATAGCAGAAAAGTTTCACTTATTTAGATCTTAAATCCGATGGATAACATATGATCATTTTTCTCTTGGTGCATCATTCTCGTTTGATCCAAAATCTTGAGGACGAAATAATATTCATTTTGATGAAAATACGACTTTTGGCCTTATTATTGGTCATCTATCAATATTTAAATTACATATAATTTGACAAAAAAGGATTTCATTCCATAATTTCCGTCAATTCACAGTATCTACAATTTAGAATAATCAGTACAAAAATACAAATTATTCTAAAGAACATTGAAGGAAGAAAATGTGGAAAGTCGTTATCAAATATACCCAAAACAAAAGCCGGGATTCTGGATTGCACCGTTTTGCATGTTCCTGCATGTACCCATGTCGTAAATGCATGCATTTGGGCTCTTTTAATGCTAGTGTGTGTCTATATATATATATATATATAAGGTACACCCATCCCCGCCCCCACCCCACGCTACCACATACATTTTCGGTACCCAACATATATCCATTTGAATCAATGTATAGTACAAGAATATATAACAACAAAATCCATTATTCTATAGAGTTTGAAAAAAATGAAATTTCCATAAATAACACTAAAACATAACGATTTTATCAAAATAGCATCATATATGTTTTTTTTCAATGTAACACTACTTTTAGTCATTATTCAGGTAAATGTCCGCTATCACACTGGACATTACTCCTCCTTCTGAACATATTAAGTGTTATTTAGAGAATAAAATAGTTTAAGTAATATTTAGAAAAATGACTTAAATTTTAGTGTTATTTAGTGCAATTATTTCTTTGGAAAAAGATGTATAGGATTTGTACTGTCCTTGAAAATCCTTCGTCTATTTGATTTTTAAAGAATTTAAGGCACTGTAGATCCACATAGAAGGTATTGGGAGTGCCCGTACCCGGCCAATTTTCTTTTTTAAATGTATAGTGTAAAAATTAAAAAAAAAGATAAGTTAAACGTTTACCCGGTGTGCATCGCAATTTCTTTTGTGCCACCTAGTAAAAATTTAAAAATCATTCCAAAAAAAGTAAAATCATTTAAATAAAGTGTAAGCTTAAAGTATTTGCACACGAAGAATAGAATCCGAGGAGGGTGTGTGTACACATGCAAACCTTGCCTCCACTCAAAAATAAAGTTGTTTCTAGCAAACTTCTCTAAAATTTATTATGTACTACGTATTATATTAAATATGGCATACTCTCTCCGTTCATAGCATTTGAATTTTTTTATTTATCTATTAATGCATTTTGGGTTGCTTATTTTAAGTTTGTATCATATAAAATTTGTTTTTTTAATTTTCATAAAAGTGCCCTTTAAAAAATTAGGGGACACAACCACCCAAACCTCTGCCTTACTACTGCCCTGATTACTTTGATTCCTGGATCCGCCCCTGATTTAAGAAAGTGTATTTTGGTGTTGACTTTTTAATGCTCCTGCATATGATGGGTAAGTATGATGTGATAGATAAATTATACAAAGACTATTTTTTGTTGGAAAAACAGAATTGGATGTTGAAAGAAAGTAGAAATAGTTGTAAGAAACTGGAAGAAGTTAGAAAAAAATTTGAAGAAACTAGAAAGAATTTGAAACTTTTTGAGAGAATTTAAAAAAAAGTGTTAAAATAATTATTTTATTCTATAAATTTCATATTTTATTTAAAAAATGTACTCTACTTTTTAAAATTTTAAGCTCTTTTTATTTTGTTTTATGTCATTATGTTTTATTCCAAATCTTATTTGTATTATTTTTGTGACTCGGACTCTTTTTTACTTTTTAAAATCAATATCAATATAATCATATAATTTTTCAATTTTTTTAGTTGTATGTCACTAATCCATGTAACAAATTAAGAAGGCAAATGAAGCAATATTTTTTTGCTAGTAGAAAGAAAAACTGGACTTAAATGATATAATGATGTCTCAACCAAACAAAAATTATCTCACATCACATTTTATTTATCAAAATGATTACAAAAATAACACGAGACTAACAATTTTAATTTTACATTTTAAATTATTGATTTAACATTATTTATATTTTAATCTAATTATCCAAATTTTGAATTTACTAATGGATTAATAATTTAAAACAACATAGTTCTCAGTGATAATTCAGAACAACTTAAATTAATTTTTTTAGGGAAGAAACCTGGAATGTTGAATCGGAAAAGAGAACACGAGAAGACTCTTGTTAGGGGCCAATGCTTACAAGGGTTTGAGTTGTATTTATTTCCAAAAGTTTCCTATTCTTTTTTTTACTACAAGAATTTCACTTTTCTAAAATAAGTAGGGAAAAAGAAAAACATGCATAAAAATGACCCCAATTTATTCGGATTCTGGTTAGCACTACAAGAATATGTTGGATCTGCTACGGACACTCATCCGTAGCAGATCTGCTACGACCATGCGACGGAATTTCAAATATCGTGTTCCACATAACATTTGCGACGGATGTACACAATTCCGTTGCAGGTCTACGACAAATAAACCAAAGGCGTCACAAATAACAAAACAATTTTAAAATTCAATTCGGCCTCGCGGAACAGCGACGGGCCTGCGACAGAGATTCTGTCCGTCGCAGAGTATTATTACTTCAACACTTGTTACTCTTGTTGATGTTGTTATTGTTGATGTTGTCGTTTTTAGTCTTCATGATGTCGATAATACCTAGTATGGGTGACATTGTTCATATTGGTTGGTGTTGTTATTGTTTTTAGTCTTGTTGATGTTCTAATGTTATTCTTTGTGATGTTGTTAATACCTAGTATGGCTGACATTATTGACATTGTTGTTATTGGTTTTATTCTTGTTGATGTTGTTACGGTACTATTCGTGATGTTGTTAGTACTTACTATAGGTGACGTTGATGTTGTTGTTATTGCTATTATTGTTGTTTGTGTTGTTGTTACTAGTTCGGTGACATTATGTTGTTGTCAAAGAACCAACTCAACCAAAAGCTCAAACTTGTGGTTGTGCCCAGGAAATGTTTCTTATATTCTAACACGCCCCCTCACGTGCAGGCGTAGTTTTTTTTCCGAGCCTTGCATGTGAAACCTTAATTTTTTAAAACTGGGTGACGCTAAGTTTCGAACCCGCGACCTCTTAGTCAAGAAGGCTCTGATACCATATCAAGAAACCAACTCAACGAGAAGATCGAGCTTGTGGTTGTGGCCCAGGAAATGTTTCTTATATTCTAACAGTTGTAATTGTTGTTGTTTTTTAACTTGTTACTATTGTTTCTTTGATGTTGTTATTAGTTGGGTGATGTTGTTGTGGTGTATTAATAGGCTCGATTTCTTACTCTTCGTGATGAGGCAAGGAAGAGCGGACTCAAATGTCACTGACCAAGAAATATGGTACTCGCTAGTCCAAGGCCACAATGCAAAGAATCGGGTTCCTGGAGTTGGTGACTATGAGCGTCAAATGAGAAAGTTGAAGCCGTCATCCACCCGTCGTCGCTCTAGTTCTTCCGCTAGTAGCAAGACTGAAATTGAGGCCTTAAAAGAGCATAACCAACGCCTCCAGGAACAGTTTGATGCCCTCACCTCTAAATTCACCACCATGCAAGAAGATTTGAAAAGGTTATATGGTGATAACTATCCACCACAAGACAATGACGGTGGAAATGGAGGAGCAGGGCAAGCAGGAGCCATTTGTTAGATAGTTTGAAAACATTATCAATGTTTATGCATATTATCTGACTGAAATATTTATGCATACAATACATTACAATTAACTTAATTTGTATTTGTTATGTGGTTTTTGATTGACTTTAATATTAAAAAATTGTTTTTAGTTATGTTACAATTTGTGTTTTTGGTAATCCCCATCCCCATGAATGCTATGTTGGTGATATTTGAGAAAAAACAAAGAAATTGTAAACTGCCAGAAACCATTTCTACTGGTCTAAGATGATGCCTTCTGCGACGGACCTGCGACGGCAAGCCTCCGTCGCAGAAAACCAGTAGAAATCGTCGATCTCCACGCCCATCGCAGATCTGCGACGGAAATATGTGTCTATCGCAGAAAACATGTGCAACCAGGCTCTCCATTCACTGTCGCAGTTCCGTCGCTGATTAGCGACGGAAATGTTTGTCCGTTGCAGATTAATCTCTTGCGACGACTTATCTGCGACGATGCATCATACGTCGCAAAACCGTCGCAGATTCCGAATCTGCGACGGAATTTAAGGAACTGCAACGGAAATTTTCTGTGGCAGATCCGACATATTGTTGTAGTGTAGGGGTCTGTGCTTATAAAGGTTTGAGTTATTTTTATTTCCTAAAATTTCTTATTCTTTTTTATTAGGAAAAGTTTACTATTCAAAAATAATGAGGAAAAAAGAAAGAGGGGCATAATAAAAGGATCCGATGCATTCATGTAAAAAAAAATTAGTATTTCATTTTTCGTTTTTCTTAATATTATTAAAACATTTTTTTTACTTTTTAAATCTTTTTTTATTTTATAAAAGTCAAATAAGGAATGTTCATGCAACAGAGGAAGTTTTAATATACATTATTCGACATATGCACTTTTAAAAAAATAAAAAATATTAATTTTACACATATAGTTCTTCGCGTGTTAAATAGATGTATGAACATTCATTGTTTTGCATATGCTTAGAACATGCACATTATAAAAATTATCAGTTTATGCACATTTAAAAGTTATGTAATGTTTAATGAAAGAAAAAAGAGGGTATAACTATTTTGGTCAAAATTTTAAATCATTGACTAAGAAACATAGTTAACGAAAAGTTCAAAATCAAAAAGAGAAATTATAAATGAATTAATTCAACATTTGAATAATTTACATGACTCTATAATGGTAACTAAAATTCATATCCATGACACAACTTTTAAAAAAAACTATGGCATTAAATCAATTTTTATTTTATTGAGATAATAATAATAGTAATAACATATGAAAATAAACCTAAATAATTTTTAGGTCACTATTGAAAGAAATTCGAATAATATAGAAGAAACTGGAAAAAGTTAGAAAAAATAGAAGAAGTTAATTGAAGAAGTTGGAAGGAACTACATGAGGTTGGAAAATGTTATAGGTAGTGGCAAATCCATAAAAGTAGAGCACTAGGGGCAAGTATAACATAGCGAGAGTCCGACGGTAGCGCACCCTAATATTTTTTTCTAAAAGACAATGTGAAACGACAAAAATAATATTAAATCTTATTTTAATATTGTGAATTATTATACATAATTTATAACTACGTAAATAAAAAATTAAATTTTAAATTTATATATAAATAGATTACTATAACTTGTTCTTTTTAAAGGAACTATAACTAATTTTTAATTAGGAATTTAAAATGATTTGACCTCCTTTTTTATACAATTGAGGTTTTCAAAATCTAATGGGGCCCATTTTTTAAGTGGGGGCATATTTGAAATTTTAAAAAAATTACGGTATATATTACAAAAAAATATTAGTCACTCGAGGCAAGTGCCCTCATCTAAACATATATGCATCTGCTCCTGGTTGGAAGTTAAGAATTAACATTCAAATTGTGCATTAACAGATAATACTACCTCCCTCCATGAGTATTTGTCCAGTTCTGACTTTTTTCGGTCAACTATTTTCAACCTTTGACCTATAATTAAATAAAATATATATTGTATTTTATTTAAATAAAACAATATTTTGAAAGTACTTGATATAATAAATCTAATAAAACTCTTTTTGTATCAATATCTAATATCATTTTTATTTAATTTGAGGTCAAAGTTTACCAGTTTTAACAAAAAAAAGTCAAAAGCGGACAAATAATCAGGAACGAAGGGAGTATGTGATAAGTAGGAACGGATAGAAAAGTAAAAGAAGAAAGATTTCTAGGAACGAATAAAATATTTGTAAAACCTTTAATGCATTACTTCATTTATTTCTCTAAGCTAGGTCTATAAAAATTTAGAGCGGAAGAGATTTAATGTGTCCTTTTTTATTTAGAACATTAATTGTGAGAAATTAAAACATTGAAGAATGACTTTTTCTCTCCAACAAACTCGCTTGTTTTTGTTGAACGGGTAAAACTTTGATTAATGTGTTGTAATACTCACTCAAATAGCGCCCAAGGCCTTGGACTAGGTCGCTTCTAAGGTCGCCCTAGGGGATAACCCCCTCCTAGTGGCCATACATTCGGTCGTTCCGATGACCAATCCATAGGGTGCCCTACACGCTTAAGGCCCCCGAGGTTGGGGACGCCCTAGAGGCAACGTCTCCTAGGTTGGGGACGTTCAACTGCCCCAAACTCATAGAAGAGTGAGCGGAGATAAGCAACAATTCACTAAATCCATAGCGTACCCTTCGGAGTCTTAATTAGCGTAAACTAGGGTCAACTTTCTCGTTCGCTCCAAGACTCGAATTTAGAACAAAGAGATAAAGAGTTTTTAGGTCTACTTCTCTGTGAATTAGTAAAGAAAAACCACAGTGCATGCCATAGTTTAGTAGGCCTTCTACATAAGTTCTACTCCCTCTGTCTCAATTTAAATTGCTTGTTTGCTTTTTTTCTCCGTCCCAAAATAAGTTGTCTGTTAGTTGTTATCGTAAACTTTTAAAAATAAAATACCTAAACTACCCCTAAAATAAGTCATCCTTCATCACCTTATCTTCTAATTCATAGTCACCCCTTCTAAAAATTAATGACAATTTCGAAAAATCAATTCTATTTTTTCTATTTCTTAAATATGCCCAAAAGTCAAAACAGGCGATTTAAAACGGGACGGAGAGAGTATAGTATTGACATTCACATGCACTTGATAAAATCATCAACCATTAGATGTAGAGATCCAAAATATGTCAAAACCCACCACCTTCACAGAGTTCTTACAGCCATTACTGCTCATTGTTGGTTGCAAGAACTAAACTTCTTTGTTCACTCTTCTGTGGGTTATCTAGATCACCACCCTTACTAGTGGCTCCCTATACAAAAAAAAAGAGAGGGTATGAAGGTCAAATAAAAGGTAGTTTTGTGTGTGCTGCTAAGAGCTTTGAAGTTTGAACATACCCTTTTTGTTAGTCCATGAGCAGCCATGACTTCGTAGAACTTGAGCATCAGCATTTCTTCCTCAACCTAAAAAGCATGGAAGGCGGAAGAACAATGATTAAATGCCTAAGACCTGCAATAGGGACTCATAACTTTTGCCCAATAATGAAACAACACCAAACAAATGCTAAATGTGATGGTGCCATTGATGTATTTTTACCATCTCTAAAGTTTAAATACACTCTTACTGAAAAAAAGAAGCCATTCTCTAGCAAAAATATATACTCCCTCGAAGAACAGGATAAGGTGGTAAAGTGGTCCTAAATTACCAATTTTGGGTCATACAATGCACCTGGTAGAGGTGTTCGACAATCAACTTTTGGGGGGAGTGCTTTTTGAGAACTATGAGAGCTATTTGACTTTGATCATATGGGAACTAGAATTGTTTGATAAAGAGTCTATTAGGAGAAACTTCTGGTCCCAAAATGTTGGTTAAGAAAAAGCTTATTTTTCAAGATTTCTGGTTCACAACTTTTTTGACCCGCGGCTGTTTACATAAAAAAAGCCCAAACAACTAATAAGATAAAATGTACATCTTATGAGACTTTACTCCAGGTTTGTAGAGTTTCTTCCGCCAACAAGAGTACAGGAACCGGTTTCACTTTCACAAAAGGGGTCTAACGGTTGACACAAATATCTAGCCAAAGAGCTTACACAAATAGCTAACAGCTAGTTGGCAGAAAACTGACTCATTGGAAGAATAAAGCATATAAACGAATAGGAGTGAATCTCTTCATATCCCCTAAATCGTCCACAGATATATTATTGTAGCTGTGAATTCTAAAAATCATAATGTGGGTTAAGTGACTAAGTAACGTATGAATAACACATGAAATGAGGAGAGCAGGGAGACTTGCTATAAAAAAATATAGAGCAGGCAAGACATTGTTACACAGAGGCAATAATGACATATTTAGAAAGATGTGAATAAGACCTTAAGAGTATGCAATTCGTCTGACAATGAACTATGTGCCTCCATAAGGAGATCGTATTGTTTCTCTAAATGCCTGCATTGCACCATAATATGTCATCAAATTGTCAGACATTATAGATGAACTCATATATGAACCGTGATTGAAGAAACAACACTGAGTTAAACAGTAAAAACTAATTAATTCCAGACTCAGAAAACTTACTTTAGAGTTTCACCTGCATATCTGGGATCCATCTTATGTAGAAACCTTCACTAAGAAAACCTGCCTCCTAGAGAGCCAAGAACCAAGGAACAGATGAGTTTTATTTGTATTAGTTCTATCTGTACTCTAGTTGTATAAAAGAAGCTGGAGAGTCAGTTTAGGCTACAGAATTTGAGTTTCAGGTCTCTTGAAACAAGCAGTGATTTGCAAGGCACATTCAAGTGACTCAACCATAAACCATTTCAAATTGAATCACAAATAATGTTCAGCTCAAAAGAAATGGCCAACTGAAAACTCGTAATATTACAACTACCCCCCCACCCGCCCCGCCCCTTGCGTAAAAACTTAGGGACAAATGAAGTAAACTATGGGAGCCATTTGGAAAGCCAAAAAAACCTTCCCTTAGGGTGGACGGTGTGGCATAGAAGGGTAACACTGGCCCTTTGATGGTGATACCAAAAAGTATAAGTATGAAGGTCTAAGCATTTGCCAAACATACCAATTAAACAATCCTTGACCCTTACCTGTAAAAATAGAGAGAGTGGAAGTATGTAACGCTAGAACTAACTCATAGACTAACACCCATTAACATATAATCATACAATATTCGAAGAATCAGTAGTTACAATTATCAAATAGTATAATCTATCGTTCGTTCGTTCGTACGTCCGTTCGTTTCACATCCTTGTGTATTGTTCCATACTTAACATATTCGACTAAAGTCTAACTAAACACACTAGTCATGGACACTCTTGGAAAGGTGTCCAAGAGGCCAAGCTTGTGAACCCAATGGAAGGTGTCCAATTGGGCGGGTTGGAGCCCCTACCACAGAGGTGCCGAGGTAGGTTACGAACTCCCGTACGTACGCTTAACCTTGGAGACCATATACGCCGACACATGCATGACCTTAAGTTCGAAATCCTCAGTCTTATAAGTGTTTCAAGTCTCTAATTCAATTTAGATCCGTTTAGCCCTATAAGGTGGCCTATTTTGCAATTTCAATTCAACATATTATTATTACCAATTCCTTAATTAGTAAAGTTGGATTAATTCATAGTCATACTAAACCTTAAAGCCCAAAGTATAAAGAATGGGTCGCATTGCAATAACTTAGAAGTCCCGGGGTCGAATTGCAAATATGAAAACTACATCCTAGATTCCAGCGCCTGACAAGGAAGTTCATCCGCTCTTTCTTCCGCTAGCCGACGACCCGATCCAGCGGATTCAAAGGTGTCAACGCCGTCCCAGGCGGAGATCAAAGTGGCATCCAGACCGATTCCTTTTCTGTGTTCAGCCACGACATCCCAACATCCGGCAGCGAGTTCCATGTCTATAGCAGCGGCGGCTTGAGTTCCTCTCGACAACACCTGCGAAGATCCCTGGTTTCGGCTAAGCAACGGTAAAACAGCGGCGACAAACATTCAGTCCGGTGACTCATCTACCTTCGTCAGAATAGGAGCAGCAGAGAGCAAAGCAGAGAAAGAGAGAGTAGATTAGGGAAGAAGAAGAGAGCAGACAGAACAGAACATGAACAGCGCAGAAAGAGAAAAACCAGAATAGAGAAGAAGAAAACAGCTGCAGCGGAATTTTCTCAGATTTCCAATTCCAGAATTTCCGATTCAGTTTCAATCTCGACCGGTTACACAATCAACAATCATAATCACGAATCCAAAGTCAATTGAAAAAAAATATATCAATGAATCCTGACCTACGAATCAATTCTAACAAGAGATAAATCAATCACCTTGAACCGGCGAACAATTCCGGCGAAGAAACTTTGGCGAACTTTTCCGGCTAACTCTGGCGTTTCTCTTTCCTACCTTTGCTTCTCTGGTTGGTATTTTTTGTATTTTAGAATTAATTATATAAGAAATTGAATTTTATTTAGCTACTCCGTACATTCTATAGGTAATCACTCTCTTTACATTGTTTTTAATTATACAATTTTATTTTATTAAATTCTACAAAGAGTCAAACCCAAACCATCAATTTATTATAGATGGAGTATTTAATACACACTTTAAAATTAGTTAATATTATTGGTTGGAGTTAATTACTTGATGGATTAGGAATTTAACTAATCCAATATTATTTGAACAGTACAAGTAAGCATAATTCTGTCTGCCTCAAAATATAAATCAGATAAATTATTTAAGACGGAGCCAGAGATATATGGACAGAAGAATATATTGGAAGTGATGTAAAGATATTCAGTAGGATCCGCGGAAGATTATCACATGGAAACCACATGAGCTTCACATGGAGGATGTCCTCTTTTATCTCCATCAATCACTCTCTTTTTCCCTTTAAAATGTGAAGCTACGGAGAGGAGGGGGGCAATTTTCTACAAGGAGAGAGCTCCTATTACTATTCTTCTTCCTTTTTTCCTTTGAGTTTTGGAGCTCCATTAATTGCTCCAAGCTCCTACAATGATGTATATATATATTTCTCCGATATTAATATAAAATTTCTTCCCTTTGCATGACACCGCCTAAAAAGGCCCATGGCTTTCTCCCGATTTGGGTTTCCACGTATAAATATTTTCTCTTTGCTTTATTTATTTATTTATTTACCGGATTTCGATATTCGGTGCAGGTCGACCCGATACCGAGTTTGTCGGGTCGGCGCCCCGAAAAAGCAGTTTCCATCACTGGCACCATCCATGGGACCGAGTGCAAAAAATTTATATTTTTGGATCTCTCAAATTATATGTTAAATAAAAGAAGAGAGATAGTAAAAAAAGAGAGAAAAACAAAGGAAAGAAGAAAAGAAACGAAGAGGGAGAACAAGAGAGAGAGAGAGAGAATAGAAAAAAGGCAAAAGAAAAAAGAAAGAATATATTGCAGGAGTGATGAAAGAAGAAAATCTAGCCGGCCTCCCTCTTCCAACCATGTGCGATCCACTAGAGAGCTCCCTATCTCGGGAGCCTCCTCCAGCGGGCCTTTCCACAGCCACTCGAGCAGCGGTCCTCTTCAGCGAGTCATGGACAAAACCGGCCTCAAGTGGACCATTCCAACTTCTAGGAACCATCCAATTAAGGGACGACGCTAGCCTCAAGAGGTTTGTTCCAGTTTCATAGGTCCCTCAAATGGACGGATCTAGCCTCAAGCGGACTGTTCCAACTTCTAGGATCCATCCAATGGACGGACCTAGCCTCAAGAGGTCCATTCCAGCTTCATAGGTCCCTCAAATGGACGTATCTAGCCTCAAGTGGACTGTTCCAACTTCTAGGATCCATCCAATGGATGGACCTAGCCTCAAGAGGTCCATTCCAGGTTCATAGGTCCCTCAAATGGACGGATCTAACCTCAAGTGGACCGGTTAGACTTCTAGCTAGGATCCATCCAATGGATGGCTCTAGTCTCATGTGGTCCGTTCTAACTTCATTGGTCCCTCAAATGGATAGAACCGGTCTCTAGTGGACCATTCCGATTTCTAGGATCCATCCAAGGGACGGCTCTAGCCTCAAGCGGTCTGTTCCAGCTTCATAGGTCCCTCAAATGGACGGCTTTAATCTCAAGTGGTCCGTTTTAGCTTCATAGAACCCTCAAAGGGACAACGCCAGCCTCAAGTGGTCTGTTCCAAGTTCAAGGGTCCTTCTAAGGATTTCATCTAAGGAGCAAGCGAGGTGTCCGTCATCCACTGTCCAAAGATCCTCTGTCCTCTAAGGAGGAAGGAAGTCCAATGAGATGTATACGGTCCACTACCCAGAGTTCCTCCGTCCTCTATGGAGCAACGGAGTTCAGTGAGATGTTCGCAGTCCAATAATCAGAGTTTCTCTGTCCTCTAAGGAGCAAGGGAGTCTAGTGAGATGTCTGTGGTTCACTGTCCAGAATTCCTCCGTCCTCTAAGGAGCAAGGGAGTCCAGTGAGATGTTCACAGTCCACTCTCTAGAGTTCCTCCGTCCTCTAAAGAGCAAGGGAGTCCAGTGAGATGTCCGCGGTCCACTGTCCAGAGTTCCTCCATCCTCTAAGGAGCAAGGGAGTCCAGTGAGATGTATGCGGTCCACTGTCCAGAGTTCCTCCGTCCTCTTAAGAGCCACGGTCCACTGTCCAGAGTTCCTCCGTCCTCCGAGGAGCAAGGGAGTCTAGTGAGATATATATCATCCACTGTCCAAAGTTCCTCTATCCTTTAAGGAGCAAGGGAGTCTAGTGAGATGTCCGCGATCCACTATTCAGAGTTCCTATGTTCTCTAAGGAGCAAGGGAGTCCAGTGAGATGTATGTCGTCCACTGTCCAGAGCTCCTTCGTCCTCTAAGGAGCAAGGGAGTTTAGTGAGATGTTCGCGATATACTGTCCAGAGTTCCTCCGTCCTCTAAGGAGCAAGGGAGTCGAGTGAGATGTTCGTGGTCCATTAGCCAGAGTTCCTCCGTCCTCTAAGGAGCAAGGGAGTCTAGTGAGATGTTTGTCGTCCACTGTCCAGAGCTCATCCGTCCTCTAAGGAGCAAGGGAGTCCAGTGAGATGTTCGTGGTCCACTGTGCAAAGTTCCTCTGTCTTCCAGAAGGAAGGGAGTCCAGTGAGCTATCTGCCATCCACTGTACAGAGATCATCCGTCCTCTAAAGAGCAAGGGAGTCTAGCAAGCACGTCTGACCATTGACTAGTGAGTCCCATCCAAAAGAAATACAATAGACGAGCTCTGCAAGTTGAGAAAAGTAACATTGTAAAAGAGTAGAGAGTAGAGGTTGATAATTCGGTCAGAGTTAGGTGATCGGATTACTAGAGATAGTCAAAGACTCCTGTACCAAGATAGAGAAAAGAATTAGAAAGAGAAAGGTGGGCGGGGATTGTCTATCATTCAATAAGAGCGGAGCGCCCAACCACCGTGAGATAGATATCGGGTGGCGGTTTAGAGGCTCCAAAAGAATATTAAAAAGTGATACCCAAGAAAAGCCCTCTTCCAAGAGGCAATGAATCCCTGAGAAAAGTCCTCTTATAAGAGGCACAAATCCCCGAGAAAAGCCGTCTTCCAAGAGGCAACGAATTCCCGAGAAAAGTCCTTTTCCCGAGGCACTAAAAAGAAAGAAAGGTACTCTTCAAAAGAGGCACAAAGTCCCGAGAAAGTCCTCTTCTAAATAGGCAAAAAGTCCCGAGAAAATCCTCTTCCAAAGAGACACCAAGTCCCGAGAAAGTCATCTTCCAAAGAGGCACAAAGTTCCAAGAGGCACTAAGTCCCGAGAAAGTCCTCTTCCAAGAGGTACTAAGTCCAAAGAAAGTCCTCTTCTAAGAGGCACAAATCCCTGAGAAAAGTAATCTTTCAAGAGGCACAAATCCCTGAGAAAAAGTCATCTTCCAAGAGGCAAAAATCCTTGAGAAAAGTCCTTTTTCAAGAGACACCAAATCCAGAGAAAGCCCTCTTTTAAGAGGCCCAAAAAGAATGAAAACCCCTCTTCCAAGAGGCACAAATCCCAAAGAAAAGTACTCTTTCGAGAGACACCAAGTTAAATCCTTACCCAAGACGTAACAAGACCTCCAAAAAAGAAAGTCCTCTTCCCGAGGCACCGAGGAAAGTTCTATCCCATGAGACAACCCACCGAGTCATATAGTTTCTGAATCTGTCTCGTTCCCCGAGACAGGCTCAAAACTAGGGGGACATGTGATGGATTAAGGATTTTACCTAATCCAATATTATTTGAACAGTACAAGTAAATCCAATTTTATCTGGCTCAAGATATAAATCTGATAAATTATTCAAGATAGAGCTAGAGATATGAAGACAAAAAAAATAATTTGATGAGATATATATACATATTGCCAAGGGTCCAAAGATATATTTAGCGGGGCCCAGACATAATTCCTTGTCTCCCACTACCTCCTCATTCCTTCCTCCTACTATAAGAAGAAGCTACGGAGAGGAGAATGGGGAGGCCAATTACTACAAGCTCCTTCTACTATTCTTCATTCTTCTTCTTATTTTAAGCTTGGAGCTCCATTAGTGGCTTCAATCTCCTACAATGATCTATGTGTAAATTCCCTCAAAATTAATAAAAGTTCCTCCTCTTGGCATGACACCGCCTAAAAAGACCCGTAGTTTGCTCCCGATTTGGGTTTCCACGTATAAATACTTTCTCCCCGCTTTATTTATTTATTTATTTATTTTCTGGATTTCGTTATTCAGTGCGGTGCCGACCCGGTACCGAGTTCGTCGGGTCGACGCCCCGAAGAAGCAGTTTCCATAAGGCGTAGATAGATTCACTTTGGGCAAGAGTGGGGATTTACTAAACGTATTGGGGAACAAAATCTGTTAATGTTAGGAACGGGATATTATAAGTGTGGCAAATAATTTGATATTTTGCTTCGAAAATATAAGTGTGACAAATATTCAGAGACGAAATTAGTATTATTATTTGATGAGTCTTCGGTACGAAACGATACAAAGCCCGCGTATTATATTAAGCCCACGTATCCCTCCTTTCTATGCCTCATATTAGAAGAAACGAAACATGTTGAGTGGTGGTGACGGGGGCCCATTAACGGCGGCGTCTCCGTCAAAAGAATCATCCACCGCCTTCTCCAGCCTCTCCGCCACCGTAACTCTAGTGACGACGGCATCCGTTCTTCTCCTCGCCATAGCCGTAATATTATCCTCGGGCGGTGGATCTCCCGGCGATCCATCGGTGATCCCTATAGTTGGCGCCGTTGGGCCGGAGAGCTTTGCGTTCGACTCCAACGGCGACGGCCCTTACACCGGCGTGTCCGATGGCCGGATTATCAAATGGCAGCGGAACGAGAGCCGCTGGATAGATTTCGCCGTCACCTCGCCGGAGAGGTATTAGTATTTCATACCCCCAACTCTAAAATGTTTGACCCAATGCGCAAAAACAAAGTAAATTTTAAATTTTTTTAAATTTATTTTATTCAAAACCTGATATAAAAATAAAAAACAAAATTTACGTATTTAAGAACTACATGAAAAGTTATTCAAAACAAGTAGTGTCTCTAGTGACAAGAATATTTTATTTTTCAAATAATTAATAAAACGTATGAATAAACAAGACTTTCTGGTATATATGAATAGTAAACAATCTCATTTTTTCAGGACGGAAGAAATACTTAATTACTCCATCCATTTCAAAATATCATTCACTTGTTGAGTTGTTGTGGTCGAATTTGAAAAATATTTACCATAAAACTCCAAAAGAATATATATATATATATATATATATAAAATATGAAAAATACAATTTTTATGTATATTAATATAAATGATAAAATATGAAAACATCAATGTTTTAAACTATATTAAAAATTATGGATGAAATAGTTACAAAGAAAAAAGAAAATAAAGAGGGAAAAGGAAAACAATTAGAAAAAAATATCGGGAAACGAAAAAAGGAGCGGAGAAAAAAGCCCCTCACATTTACCTTTATTACTCAATTTTTTCTCATTTTTATTTATTTCAAAAAATTAATTTTGTTTTTCTTTTTTCAATTTTTTTAAAATAATTTGAAAGTCAAAATAGTTTAGCGAAAAAGACTAAAGTATGAGTGAAACATAAAAAATGTACAAAAATAAGAATTCTTTGTCCGAACATTATTACATTGATTGAAATTTGTAACTATGTATATATATTTACTCAATTTATTCGGTTCGAACATCCAACCTTCCATTTTGAAGAGTCATAGTTAATTATGTCACTGGACTATTATGTCTTTAGCTTCTTGATACTTAATTATTGATAAAGTAAAAAACAATTTAAAATGTATTTTGAAAAAAATTTTAAAACATGACAGGATTGACAAAAAGATTGCTATTTTTGTTTTGAAAAGGATATGTTTACAACCGAAAGCAAAATAATTCCACAAAAAACAACACAGAGGAGTGGGGCACAATGTTTTCATGAGTCATGAAAAACTAACCAGCAAAGTTAGAAAAAGCGTCATGTACTTCTTGTACATAGGTTCCTCGTTTTTTTGCCTATCAACAATAAGTTGAAATTGATATAAAATACTACTTTCATGCTACAAAAAAGTTACATTTAGCTTTTGTAGCATTTTAAACATTATTGACTATATAATTAGAGATGTAAAGAGATATTAATCATATCAAATGTACCATTGTAATATTTGTATCCATTTATTTTTATCGGATATCAAATTCGGATACGAATCTTGATGAATACCAAAATTCAAAACTGTATCTGCATTCGTCGGATATTTTTCAAATGTCAGATACACATGTATATGTTTCCAATTTTTAAAGTCAAATTGAACAATACTTTAATTTTCAATTAAATTGAAGCCAAACTTTTATTCATTCATTTGTAATTTGTTACGGACTAATATTTTTCTTAATTTATGTAATTTATATTATTTTACGACTACAAAAGATATTCATAGTACACATTCACATATACTTTTATGTGTCTACACATATAAAAATGTCTTATACTTTTTACTCGAACGGATGTCAATGCGAAGCGGATTATAAATGAATCGGATGTGTGATTACCAAATTCGATCATATCCGTTTACCAATTGGATACAGAAAATAACTATTTTTAACGGATGCAAATATTTTAAAGAAATCACCCTAAAAAGAAGTAAAACATAGAGAAAGTATCAAAATAAGAGTTTCATATTTTTATTCTCTAAATAGGAGTTCACATGCACTGTGGTATTGTGTCATTATACATGCATGTGTATTTTACTATAATTTTTGGTAATGTACATGGCCATAATTTGTTATGTAAATTCATTTTAACTTCTATTTTGGAAGTAAAAATATGGAACTCTTATTTTAATATATTTTCAATGTTTTAATCTTACTTTAGTCCCAATATTTTATGTGTAAACGAATATGGATGTAAACAATAATCGAATTTTCGGTTATCCATTTACAACACTAACTATAATTATACATTAATAAATATTATAAAATTTGATATATTAGAATTGTACTCCCTCCGCCCTAAAATTTTCTTACCATTTTAGTTTACGAGGATTGACTAAAATTTTATATAAAATTTATATATTTAAAAACTATATCAAAAGATCTAGAAAACAAAATGTAACATAACTATATTATTTTATCGAATGACTAATGATAATATCTAATAAAAGTGAATAAAATTTAACCGTGTAACTAGGAAAGAAGTTTTAGGACGAAGGGAATATATTAACATGAACACAATTATATTAAATTTGTTCTATAATTATTTATATATTTTATATAGTTTGTAGTCAAAGTTTATAAATTTTGAACATAAAAATAAAATATAAAGATGTTTTTATGAAGGAGGATCCTCATGAAACCTCTTATCAAAGAACTCACTCAACTTTGAGAGGTATCTTGTAACTTGCAGATATAATAGTATAAAGAGAGTAATATTTTGGCAACTTCAGTCTTCTAAGTTGATTCCTTCATGGAAAACAGATTGACATTGACAAATGGATGACATACTTTTCTTTAACCTTCAACTTACAAAATCATCTTGGTTTGTGGAGATTATTAGTTTACTTTATGAATTCATTATTAACTTACTGTAATTATCACAGTATTACGCATTGAGGTCATGTTCTCTCTAACTTACTTTTTACTTATTATTTATTTTTATTGCAACTAAATCAAATTAGAAATAATTTTAAATATAAGTATATTCAGATCAGATCAGACCAAAAAATTGTTAAGAATGATAGAAGAAGAATTGTTTCAAGATGAATGGTTCAATAGGATATTCCAAAAAAATTGATTCTACAAGGTGTACCAAAGTGAGGTAGCAAGCTCGAATCCCCATGTTGTTGGGGGAGCAGAGGGGTATATGAGGTACACGAGTCGTGTACCTTGCGAAGTTCTTCATGTCCATTAATTGCTCAATAGTGTGGTTCCGCATTGTCCTATTTGACATAATGGAAGCCTTGTAGAAATCAATCTTGGTTAGGTGCTATAGAAAGAAGTGGTTAGGTAGTCAACGACTGTGATTTTGTATCGCTAATTGATTTTAAGAAGCATGTAAAAACTATCTATTCATCACTGTCTTAGAGACACATAAAACCATTGTCACTCTGTATTATTTAATTACACTGTGTTCGTGAAAAAGTGAAGATAGCCACTAGTAGACTAATTTGTACTTACAAATGGACGATTTATATTTCCCATAAAAATTATGGAAGAAAACGCCATTGTGTGTTGAGTACAATATTTATCATATTCCCACTTTAATTTTATTATTACTCTCTTGGGCCTCAATCCTAGTGCATTTGAACATGATATTTTTGTATTAGAAATTGATTAAAATTACATTGCATATTAGTATAATGAAATAAACTATTTTTATTAATATGTAGTATATATATTTTTTAATTGGTGATTAAAATTTATCTGCTTTCATTTAGAAAATAAAAACCGAATGAACACCTTAAAGAAAACGTATCAATTGCTCCCTTCGTCCAAAAATATTCTTTCTGTTACACATTATGGGGGTTGATCGACTTCACTTTCAATTTAATTTATTTGATTATAAGTGTAAAACTTAAAATTTAAAAACTACATAAAATGCCCAACAAAACAAAAGATAACATGATCGTATTTTATTTCAAACAAAGTTAATATTGTTTAATCGTGTGAATAGTAAATGGAGATACGATTTCAGAACGGAGGGAGTACTAATTATTATGTTGACAGAGATGGGTGTGAAGGCGTGGCTAGACGAGATAATAGAGCACGAGAACACGTGTGTGGGCGCCCATTGGGACTCTGTTTCAGCCCAAAGAATGGTAATCTCTATGTTGCAGATGCATATATGGGCCTAATTGTTGTGAGACCAAGCGGGGGCCTGCCAATCCAAGTGGCTACACATGTCCAAGGAGTTCGGATTGGTCTCACCAACTCGCTGGATATTGACCCAATAAGTGGAGTGATCTATTTTACTGACAGCTCCAATATGTACCAAAGAAGGTGTGTGTTCATGGCTCCTACTTTGTATAATTTTAATGCACAATTCTTGACTTTTCAAAGAAAAGTTTCAAGATTTACATCAAGACCTCACTAGCACTTAGACCACTATCACCTTTTCATACGGATCACTTTAGTGTGAGAGTTTTTTGCACCATTGGCTCCCGAAATCTTTAAAAACTACCCAGATTTTCTTTGGACTTTAAAAATCACACCAATTGTCTTTGAACATTTAAAAACATTGCATCAATGATGTTTCTGTGTTAGATTTGAGAGTGCGTCAATCTCACACTCGTCCATTGTATGTAAGAATTCATCTAAAGCCATATATGACACGTGAGTTATGCAATATACCATTTCTAAAGATTATCTTCTATATTTTTAACCTCTTGAAACCTTAGATAATTATTCTTTATTTAGCCATCAGTAACCAAACTCAAAGCCTGGCCATCAATCGATCAATCTCTTCATCAAGCGATCAACATATTTATCAATTTATGGCATCAATCTTCATCAAGCTCCAACATGTATATTGATGAACGACATGTGATTAACACACTCTCAAATATGACACAGAGAGACCATTGATGCAATATTTTTAAACGTTTAGGGGTGATTGATGCAAATTGTAAATTCAAGAACAGTCCCCGTAATTTTTGGATAGTTCGGGGGAAAACGACGCAAAAAGCTCTTTTGCATACCATGATGTGTTGTGAGCTAGGATGATCAATGCATACATTTAATCATCATCCTAAATTAAATTGCATTTTATTTTCAAGGAATTATATTGCAGCAATAGTGAGTGGTGAAAACACAGGAAGGTTGATGAAATATGACCCTGAAACAAAACAAGTCTCTATCATCCTCACCAACCTCAAATTTCCAAATGGGGTTTCACTAAGCAAAGATGGCGACTTCCTTGTGGTTGCAGAAACTACAACATGCAGAATATTAAAGTTATGGCTAAAAACTGAAAAAGCTGGAAAAGTTGAAACCATATTAGAGCTCCCAGGATTCCCAGACAACATCAAAAGGAACAATAAAGGAGAGTTTTGGGTTGGGATTCATTCCAAGAGAAGAAACCTCATGAAATGGGTTTTGTCCACAAATTCTTGGGTTGGAAATGCTTTGGCCAATCTCCCCTTTGATATTACTAAGGCATACTCATATTTGGATAGTGTTAGTGGATATGGTTTGGGAGTGAGGATAAATGAAAATGGAAATGTGTTGGAGGTTTTGGATGGCATGAGTGGAAGGAGATGGAAGCATGTGAGTGAAGTTTTGGAAGAAAATAAAAATTTATGGATAGGATCTGTGGAAATGCCATTTGCAATTAAAGAAAAATTATTAAGATAAGTGGGCGTCAAAATTAATGTTTATGTTATATTTAAAACCATCCCTATGCTTGAAGTATATGCTCAATTTCGGTAGAAATCATCCTAAATAGGACTAAAACATAGAGAGAAAAATGCAAAAATAGGATTTTCATATTTTTTTCCAAAATAGGACTTCGCACTGTGTTAATGTGGTTGTAATGTGGCACTGTACATGTGCACATTACTATACTTTTTGATAATAATGTACATGATCATGTTTGGTAATGTAGATGCATTTTAAGCCCTATTTTGAGAATAAAAATATGGAAGTCCTATTTTGGTATATTTTCAATGTTTTAGTTCTACTTTGATTTTTCTTCCCAATTTCGGGCTCAAGTATTGCGACTCTATTTATTTATTTAAATATCTGAACCATATTTACATCTGTGTTAATTTTTATCTAAACTTAAAAGTTAAAACTATATGTATGTTATAATCTATGTCAAACTGGCGATACTGAATCAAACTATATGTAGTTTAATTTTGACTTAAGTAGTGTCGAATTGAGTTGGACTGAACAAGTATACTAAATTAATAAGTGATCATTTATTGACTGATTAGATCAGGAAGTTATATCATCCATTTCCAGAATATCTATCAAAGTTTGACTTTCTACAATTGACTAGGATCAATATAGTTTGACTTATAATTAAATAAAAATTACATGGTACAAAGTCTATTGATAAAATAAAAAATATTTTTAAAATATTTTACAAGATAAATCTAATACACTTATTCCTATATCAATATCTAATATAAGATTTATTAATTTAATAGTCAACTTTTCTCAATTTAAAACGTAAAAAGTTAAAACTAGACAAATATTCTAAGACGGGATAATACTAATTTAGCACATTTAAACTAATTTAACACTATAAAAAAATATAACTAATGATACACTTAAAACGTTTGGAGGGAAAACACGTTGTAAGCCTATAACGCCCTAAAACTAGACCTGTCAAAATTAATTAATTAAATAAATATTTAATTATTGAGATAGACCCAAAATAAAGGGTTTATGTAGTTTACTATTTAATTTGAAAAAAATATACCATTGTGTAGAATTTGATTGACTGATCACAACAGTGTAACTGGATTTAAACTTGGAGAAGTTGGACAAAAAAGTATACCCTAATTGAGATAAACTATTAGATTGGAGTGCTAGAGGATCAATTTAATTGATGTAGAGTATCAATTCACGCATCATTCGCCGATAAACATTCTGCGCACGGCTCTACTATGCGCCTATTTCTATAGTATACACTCCTCAACTCCATGATTACTTCACTATTTCCTCTCATTACAAGCTTGGGAGGTAGTCAAATGATCAGAGAACAAGGAAGTGCTGTCCGAAGAGTTTGAAGTCATTGGAGATAGACATAGTTCTTACTGGAAGTTTCACGATTACTTCGTTTAAACTTTAAAGTGAGAGCGTAAGTATATCTAATGTTGGAAAATGCATCTAGATCGTGACAAGGGTTTTGCCTCTTCAAGAAAATAATGTGCATTCCTAACAGCCGCCACCGATTCTGATGAGCTTGTCTAACAATCGACGACACTTATCCCTCTCTTTCTCTTCAAAATCATGAGCGTGCTTAACAATCACCATTTTTTATCCCTCTTTCTATCTCTAAAAAATTATGTGCATGAGTGAAGAAATTGAAAGCTATATTTGTTTGTGTTTCTTCTAAAGTACAAGAGCTCGAAAAGTGATAAAGAAGCAGAGAACAACTCAGAAGGAGAAAAAAACTTCATGCCCCTGTTCCAATGGTCAACTCTCTCCCTGAAAAAAGAACTCAGCTAATGTACTCGCAAGCTTGTTCGTCATGTAACAAAGATCTACCTATCCATTTTTGGAAAAACTGAGTCTGCCGACTCTATTCAAATACTTATGCTCCAAACTGTTCCTCGTTACTGATGATCAGTTTACGAGGGAATATTAGGAATACTAGACGTATTAGGAAATAAAATATTATTATTTATTATCTTTCTTATTTTATTGTTACCATAATTCTTTTTCTACTAGAATTAGAATTCTCTTTTATAATCCATATATATATATATATATATATATATATATATATATATGAATGTATTCTTCATTATTCAATAACACCAATTATTATCGAATTGTATCAGAGCTAATGAATTAATTTATTCATGCATCGTTTGAACATCCAACCAACCCGATTGATCCTTTGTTAATTAAAAATATTCGGAATTAATCTAATTTAGATTGAATGTTAAATTTGATGAATATTTTGAGATTAAATGTTAAAATTGATGAATATTTTGAGATTAAATTTAAAATTGATGATTATTGACTATAGTTGACTTTGATGATGACTTGTTTGATGATAAATGCGGGTGTTAACATACATGATTGCATGGCTATAGTGATTATATATTGAACACTTATGGTAATAAATATTGAACTATTGTAGTTGCGAGTATGACGAACCAATGATAAAGACTGTTTAAAAGAACTTTAGGATTAACCTCATGTCCATGTTATTGAGATACAAATTTGTTATGTCTTGTGGATGTGTTCGTCCAGTGGCTTGGGTAAAAATGTACGTATGAGATCCATGAATCATTTAGGGATTACTCATTTGGGGGTAGCACCTACTCGTCGGTGAGTATTCCACCGTCGGTATTGATCGAGCGTGACCTATAAGTCAGTAGGATAGATCATGATTCATGATTCTTATGTGGAAATGATAGAAACTGGTCTTAGCCTATAATAAGTTAAAAGTGATTATTGATAATAAACTTAATAATGTTATGAATGACAAATGCTGAATATTATGATGAAGCCAAATAACTTGAATTGTGTCTTATTTGCATGGAATCTTGTGATCTTGTTACGAATTGTGACTCTATCTATGTGTATGTTCTATGCATAAGATATTCCCACCCAGCTTCATCGTCGAGTGTGTAATATGTTTTATTTGCTACACCTAGGTAATTAGAATACAGTTATACAGATGAGTCTAGAGACAATCTCCAAGGGCAGCGGGGATGAGATGACACACACACACACACACATATAGGTGTGTGTGTGTGACTGATGTTTCTTACTTAATGAATATTTCCAAAAGAACTTATTACGTTTTCGGACAAGAGCATATGGTTGTGTTGTTAAAATTTTTACTTACCTTCCTCACTATTATGAATAATTCCGACAATGTATATTGTATGTGGATAACATCTTGGTGACACACCGACCCCTCTGCCCCATTGGTTCGAGTTACGTGAATTTAAGGGTGTTCACATAGTATAGGGATTAATGATACACTTTTGAAAGTTTAGGGGAAACCATGTTTTTTTATAAAAATTGGGTGTAAAACATACACTTAATTAAAAGTATAGGGACTAATAGTGCAATTTTCAAAATTCAAGAGAAAAATTTACAATTGATAAAAAGTCAAGAAATAAATGGCGCAAAAAAACACTATGTAGAATCCATTGTTTTCACTAAAAATGTTACTAATGATAAAATAGTAATTTGTGACAGATCCATGATTTATGAAAATATTGACAAAGATTTGATATCAGTTCGTGTTTTTTTAAAATTTATTGAATCCAGATTTAGTTCAAAATATATTTTAATAGATTTGTGAAATATTATTTATAATGAAATAACATTTGTAAAATATTATCTTATCATAACTATATGTGAAAAGTATTTTTAATAACCAACACAGATTTGATATATAAAAATCGCAAACAATTTGTGTGTACAAAAATATTTTTCATTAGTAAAAAATTATGATAAGGATTGATGAGGATGAAATAAATGAAATGGAAATACAAATATAAGATATATCCTTTTTTCCTGTGGATGCAAGATTGACAAAAATACTTGCAATTGTGAAATTTGGAATGAAAATACTCCAATACATTGATGCGAGTGAAATTTATAAAGATTCTTGTACCCGAAGAACATGCATATCGTTTTTAGTCAAAAGAAATGATCATTTATAATTTTTTCTCCAATTTTATACTCCATTCGTTTCAATGTGTTTGTCAATTGTTGTAGCCACATGCCGACATAGTTGCCAGTAGCCATTGTGGGTCAATAGAGCATCGTTTTCTGTTGTCGTGAAGTCGCAGAACACCACCGCCGGTCACTGGTGATCCATTGCCATTATATTGCTATCAAAACTCCTATATCATAATTGATTCTTATATATCACACTTACATTAGACTCTTATTTAGAGAACTGAATTATATTTACTCCAATTTTAGAATTTTGGTTTTTCTTTTACTCCTAATTTGGAGAAATATTTATTGGCAGATGACTTTTTTAATTGACCTTTCATTCGGAAAACCCATTAAAGTAAGAAAGCTATAGTTATCTAGGACAATTTTTTCTAGGATCATGCTACATGTATCCTAAAATTTATACTCCATTTGTATACCAAAAGTATATATTAATATTTTGATGGTTCACACTGATACAAAGTGTTGGTGCGTTAACAAAAATTTACACTGACACAAAGTATTAGTGCATTTACAAAAATTAGCATTACACCAACATAAAATGTTGGTGGATCCCTGCTGTACAAAATAAGGTACAAATCTTTGAGGTACAAATAGTTTTATCTTTTTTCTCTACAAATTGTTTTTCATTGTTTTTTTTTTTGAAATATTATGCCAAATTTCCAACGGTCCAACCAAATAATTTCTTGGTGGAGTCCGAGTCCCCTCTCGTAGCATTTCAAAAACCCCCAACAGCACTCAGAACCGCTTTCGCCGGGTTAATCTCGCCCCGCCGTGACCGTGGCCTTTCACCTCATATCCCGGCAGCCACACACGGCGTTGATTCTCCTGCTCGACCCCTTTTATTACCAGAAGACTTCAACACCTGTAAAGAGTTCACCCATCTAGGTTTTTGGAGTTCATTTCTCTGTTTTTTTTGTTTTTTGGAATTTTTTAGAATTCGAGCAGAATGATAGATGGTCATCTCTCATCCGATCCAGTTGTTTCGTTTATTGGAACGAAATTATGAATAAAAACGCGCATATGAAGTAGGAAGTAAGTCAACAGAATCTAGGATTTAAGGAATGATTTGATTTGAGGCTTCAAAAAAATGTAAATGTGAGTGAAGCACTTGCTGCATACATTGATGAATAATATTGTTAGTTTTGTACAAATGCAGAATCTTGATGAGAATGTAGAGTATACCTCACGCAAGCTAGCTGCTTAATCTCTCATACTCCATTGATAGGGTTTACAAATACACAATCTAATTGATCATGATTCTAAATGAAAAAATTGGTTAATTAGGGCTTTCTTTCAGTTGGACAATTATGGCGTGCCTCTCAGTTACTTGATTACTTCCATATGCTGATCATTGTGTGTCTCCATTTTTTATTGTACGTCTCCTTGTAGGAAATGTAATGTTTGTTCATCAGTTTACCCATTTACCGTAGTGTGAAATTGTTGGCGGAGACATGGAGAGAATTCACGTATCAGTTAGAGCAAGACCACTATCTCTAGAAGAAGCCAAGACTAGCCCTTGGCGAATCGCTGGAAATTCAATTTTCTTTTCAAACCAGCCTACAACAAAATTTGATTTTGGTACCATTTCATTTTTCTTTTGCCAAAACCTTTGTTTATATCTTTAATTTTTTTCCCACCCACATCTAATTCTTTTCTGTAAATATTCTAACTAAAGCTTGTCTCTTTTCTATTTAGATAGAATATATGGGGAGGAATGCAAGACAGGGGATGTCTACAAAGCTCGAATAAAGGACATTGTGTCAGCTGCAGTCAAAGGATTTAATGGTACTCTTAGCTCTTAAAATGTGGTCATTATTTCTCACTCTGAAACATTTCTTAGATAGTATGTAATTATGTATACATTGTAGTCTTGATAGCACTCGTACCTATTTATTTATGTCATGGATCATGATTTACTTTTTTGTGCTTTAGAGAGGTGGGAAAATTAGATTATAATGGTATGGATCAAGAGATATAAGTACTGTTGTTCACTCTATTTCCATTCGCTTGTCAAATTCATATTAAGATTCTCCCAATCAACCTTCAAATATTTCCCCATTTAATTATTATCCATTTAGAAATGTCCTTATAAACGTATATTTTATAATCTCCTTATATACCTACGCATCTTCTTGAATAGGAACTGTATTTGCATATGGTCAGACAAGTAGTGGAAAAACACATACTATGCGAGGTTCAAGTTCTGAACCAGGAGTAATCCCTCTGGCAGTGCATGACCTTTTTAACTTCATACAAGAGGTAGTTGCAATTGTTTTAAAGCTTCTAAATCTTTGCACGATGAACTCAAACTCTTTTAATTTTTGACACAGAACTAGACTTTATCTAAACTAGATCAGAACTTGAGGGTAACCTCTGAAATGAAAGGGAGCAGGCACAACATCTTTTTCAAGCGGTTGCATATGATTTCATATGTCCTATTCTTTGACTTAACAATAAGAGCTCAACTATGTATAAGGACTAATGTTGCTTTAGTGCAAGGACTCGAGTAACCAACACTTTACTGACTTCTCTTTCTTACATCAGCAACCAATCACTAGATGGTTCATTGCCAATACCCATCATTACTCACATTTTTTGTGTGTGTATCATGTTTCCTAATTTCACTATGCTAATCTTTAGATGTGGACTGATTTTAATGGAGATCAATATCCCTTTATAGACTCAAATGTCCATAAAAGTCATTATTTTCATTCGGAAATTTATTACAGTTCGTATTTTAGTTTATCCTTCTTTTAGGAAATGGACCATCAGTTTAAATTTTTCTTCATTTTTAGGAAGTAGACCGAGAATTTCTTTTACGAATGTCATATATGGAAATATATAATGAAGAAATAAATGATTTGCTAGCCCCGGAACATTGGAGATTACAAATCCATGAAAGTATTGAGGTAGCTACATTAAATTCTAGTCCATATACTCATCTTGGAGTAGATTTACTCTTCCAATAATTCAATCTTTTTTTGCTTCATCTCCAATTGCCCTTCCCAAATAAAGCGCGGAATATTTGTTGCTGGCTTGAGGGAAGAGATTGTTGCTTCTCCGGAACACGTACTTGAGCTTATGGAGTTTGGAGAATGTGAGTAGTTCACCTCTCATTGACACTTGACAGATGATTGTTTTATCTTGTGGCTCTGTCAATATTCTTTGCTTTATTACTATGTTCCATTTTCATGATTAATTCATGATGGAGGCATTTATAATGAGATGCTCTTTGAATTCACACCATTTATGATGAAAGTTATTTTGGAGTTTATGAGAACTACTCCTTCGGTCCTTCCCCACACTTAACTAAAATGATTTATCTCTTTTTATATAAAATCAATTCTACAATGAGTCATGACTATAAGAACTATCTCAACTCATATGGTCTGTTGTTATGTTCCATGCATGTAGCGAAACCTTATATAAATGACGGTTTCTGAATTTCATCTCATTGTTCTATCTGTCGAAGGTTGCATCAAGGACACACGGCACAAAATTTTCACAATGTTGTGTGGGCATGAATTCATAGTATTTACTAATTTTAGACGACAATAGACCATGAGTTTCATGCCATGAAACCTAATCTAATTGTGATTTAGGTGATTATAATATTTGAAAACAGATTGGAGAAATTGTATGAGAAGATTTATTATCTTCTTGTCAAGAGGTTATTGCAATTGGTAACCAATTTAGTTCCTATTGTTTCCATAAATTTTGCAGCTCATCGCCATACGGGAGAAACAAATATGAACTTGCATAGCAGTAGGTCTCATACAATTTTTCGAATGGTACGCATTAGTTTTAGTGGCATTTTTTATTTACTACGGAGTAAATCGAAATATCTAATGTATTATCTTATATAGATTATAGAAAGTAGGGAGAAAGCTGAACATGCGAATTCAGATAGTTCATGTGATGCAGTTCGTGTATCTGCTCTGGTAAGAAGTTGGGCGTGTTAAATTTTAATCTCCATTTATTCTTTTTCCTTTATTTTTTTTACCTCCCTTATACAAGAGTTTGGTATTAACTCCATAACTCGTTTAACTTGTCCATCAGAATTTGGTGGATCTTGCTGGTTCAGAGCGTGCTGCGAAGACAGGAGCAGAAGGTGTTCGTTTGAAAGAAGGTTCACATATCAATAAAAGTTTGATGACTCTAGGAACAGTTATAAAAAAGCTAAGTGAAGGTGCTGAGAGCCAAGGGTAAATTTAAAGATTGCTTGTATTGTGACTTGTAGATACTTTTACTCAGTCATATATTTATAAATCATTTTTGATAATTTCAGTGGTCATGTTCCTTACCGGGATAGCAAGCTCACACGTATTTTGCAACCGGCACTAGGTGGAAATGCAAATACTGCGATCATTTGCAACATTACTCTTGCTCAGGTACCTCTTAGAATTCGCAAATGGAAATTATAGTGAAATTTCTCTTGCATACTCCAATTAATTACAGAGTACATTGCACTGTTGATGTAGTTTGGCTAGGAGGTTAGGAGCTCAGGACGGAACTTAATCAACTGAATAAAAACTGTCATCCACTAATTCACTGATTTCACTCATTTTTTTTCTATGACATCTCAGCAGACTGGATGTTTTTATATTGAGCAGACTCATAATTGTCTGGATAGAAATCTCTGAAAGATGGCTTTATTCTTTCTGAAAAATAGAGGATATAGACTGTCATTAGAACTTGGGGATTCTTCTTCCCTCAGCTCCCCAATAATACCCATGTCCAGCACTTCAGCCACGGGTCCAAACAACTATGCCCATCTGTTAACATTGCTCTTCATGCTTGATTGTTCTCTCATATGAACCACCATTTCAACTAGACCTGTTATTCTAATCTTCAAGTGTTCTTCTCAATAAATCTGACTTGATGACAGGTTCATGCAGATGAGACTAAGAGTAGCCTTCAGTTTGCAAGCAGGGCATTACGGGTTACAAACAGTGTTCATGTGAATGAGGTTATGATCCTGACCAACATTCTTCACGCAATTACACTTGTTCTTTTAACTTTTGACTTTTTTTTTTCATTTCTTTGAGAGGACCTGATGCTCACAGACCACCTTCTGCTGCTTTTCTCTTATAGCTTTATATTTTTTTGTGTGTGGTTCTGAATCCACATTCTTTCTAATGCTCCTAGATATTGACTGATGCTGCTTTACTCAAGCGTCAAAAGAAAGAGATTGAGCAGCTTCGAGGGAAACTGCAGGTTGTACGAATATTCAAGTATTTTATTTCATTTTGGAGAAACTTCCAACTGTCAACTAAACTAACATGTATTTTTTTTTGGTATAGGATTCACATTCAGAACATCTGGAAGATGAAATTCTCAATTTGCGGAACACTTTATTGAAGGTTTGCTTTACTTATTTTCTAGGGGGTTGAGTGGTTGACAAAAATTTTATTCAAGCTTTCTCTTTGTAGAGTGAATTGGAGAGAGAACGGATTGCATTAGAGTTAGAAGAAGAAAAAAAAGCTCAAGCAGAAAGGGAGAAAAGGCTGCAAGAACAAGCCAAGAAAATTGAGAACTTGAGTACTATGGTGTTGTGCTCTAACAGAGATGAGAGCCATGATTTCTACAAGAAGGTTGTTGGTCTTCCCAAGTCTTTACGACTTAATATTGCTGATAATATATATGTGGATCACGATGATACCCAAAAGGTCTTTTCTTTTTTGTGTTAGTTTTTCCCCATTTTTTCTCATTGGTTGGCAGCAACAACCAATAGGAAATCCTTGTTAATCTTCCTCAAGGTTTTTATTCCCATACTTGATTAAAATAGTGCAATATTTGAACAGCTCAGGCTCTGAGTATTCTTGTGGCACGTCCATCTTTTCAATGTCACGCCTTAGATTTTTTTTTAATACTATCTAGGCACTCCTTGTCATAGCAGCCATGTTACTTGCATAGTTGCATGAATTATTTTCAAAATGAAACTTCACTGCCTTTATGTGCCCAAGTATTTATACTGAAGCTTTTCATTTGTCTATAGTCATTTGTGTTGGTTCCAATCTTAGTTTCTTCTATGATGACGGTGTTTCAAGATTTACTCCCACCCTTTTAATTTGATCACATTCTGTCAGGATACTGGTAAAAATGGAAGCCAATAATGTAATGTGGACAGAATAAAAGAATATGAATGTGTGAAAAAAATCTCCACAGTTGAGTACTTGACTTGACTCACATGAGTATAAAATTTGGAATCAACTCATGAGTCATGACCGCCAGAGATTCCTTTGTGCTGAATTAATGATTCCACAACATTTTGACAATTTGACCTTGTTTATGTAAGTTAGTCTCATGAACTTCTCAATTTCTGTTGTCATATTATTGATCTCCCATTCCTCCTACATGGCTGCATCTGTCTGTTGATATCGTGGTATCATAGATAACTTAGTTTTGTAGATTAGGTTTTTGCTACTTCCTTAGGGAGTGGTCAAAGTTGATATAATTCACTTCCCATGGTGCTTTTCTTCCCTTTGTAATTTACTTTCCATGTAATGGGAACTTTATGCTAATTTTGACGTCATTCCACCCAAACTGAAAATGTATATGTGATTTTGGAAAATGAATGGGAGGAAAGTGATTTTCTTTCCCTAGGTAA